TGGGTTCCTACTTACTACAAGGTAAACAGAGGCACAGATGTGGAGTAAGGAAACTTGCCTAAGGCTTTGCCCTGTCCGGCCGCAAACAGAATCCAGGTCCTCTCTCTTTGCGAGGCGAGCGCTCTTACCCATTACCCTACAGGATTTTTATATATTTTTTTTTAAAAAAAAAGGGAGTCAAACAAGAATCGAGAGCCTTGAGAGGAGACAAGAGGAGAAGAGGGGAGAGAAATCAGTGAGAGAGAGAGAGAAAAAAAAACATCTTTAGGTCGTGGTAAGATTTAAGAAGCTCAACGAGTGCCAAGAGCAACAGTGAAATAAGTGCACTGAGATGACAATGACATCACTCCCAAAGCCCTTCACAGTGCCGTCTGGATCGTTGTGACGGCAATAAGGAAGAATGGAATTCTTCGCTGGGAAACACACCCCTCCCCAAGCACAAAAACCCGCCAGTGTAACCATAAAAACAGCCGCGCCCCACCCCCTAACCTCAAGTAATTCCCCGATTTTACTGGAACACCGAAATACAGACGGGAGGGGCCCGAGGGCAGGCAGTACCTAAACGAGCACCCTCCACCCCCCCACCCCCCGCCCCACAAAAGAGAGACACGACAGAACTAAAGGGCGTAGGTTACATTCCCTGGTTTGTCGATTATAACATTAATAATCCTTTCGCCCGACAGAGTGTCTTATCACGTCGTTGAGACGCCTCAAGGCACCCGCACAGGGTATACTGCGTGGGGTTCGGTAGCGCAGTGGTTAAGAGCGCTCGCCTGGCAAGCGGGGTCGATTCCCAGGCGGAACAGGGCAAAATTTTGGGCAAGTTTCCTTACTCCACACACACACACACACCACACACACCCTTCGGTTTACCCAGCAGTAAGTAGGTACCTGCTTGTCAGCCGATTGGCGGATCACTTTCCGGGCCACGATGATCCCTCCAAAAAAATAATGATGATTTGGCCACTTCAATCCACAACCGTTTGTGGGACGCTGCTGTGCGTAATTGGCTGCCGCATTTCACCCACAAAATATACAGTCAAACCCACTTCATAATACATTCCGTGACGCACTTTGAGACGTCTCGACGATGTGATAAAAAAACGCCGTATCAGATGCAAAGATTATGATTCGCACACGGTGACTTCCCCTCAAACAGCCGGCACTGCGTGTCGGGGAATCGGGAGAAATGTGGAAGATACCAAAGTGGCCGCGACAGGTCTGGGCTTGACCGATTAAGGCTCTTGGTTCTACCGTTTTAACTGTGCAACGTGTCTATAAAAAGACAGTAACTTGCGCTGCAACCAGGCACCTCCAAACTGTCTTCTCTGAGCGGAAAAAAGTGACTCAAAATAATTCCTACCCCTCCCGGCCTCCACCTTCTGCACAAGCTTTGCACACACGCTCATTCACTCAGCGCACGCCACAGTGCAAACACCCTTCCTTTGCAAAATAAAAATCGATGCAACCCGAACGAACCTCAACCTGAAAAACATGCAACAGGTTTGAATTCTGGTCTGGGTTTTCAAGCTAAAACAACAACTTAACCCCTAACATTTGCGCAGCATCTTTCCCACATTCACCTCGAAATACAGTTCACTTAAATACCATAATGAAATATAACAATTGTACATGATATACAACAATAATCCTTGCACTTGGTATAGCCTCTTTACCACGTCTTTGAGACGTCTCAAAGCACTACACAGAGTACGCTATGAAGTGTAGTGACTCCGTTTTGTGGGCAAAACGTGGCAGCCAACTGCACAAACGGTCGTGGATTAAGTGACCGAATTATTATGTTTTTTTGATGGGAATATTACCCCGGAAAAACAATCCGCCAATCGACTACTGCTGGGTAAACAGAGGCGTGTGTGTGTGCGGAGTAAGGAAATTTACCCAATGTTTCGCCCCGCCCGGGAACTGAACCCAGGTTCTCTCGCTTGCGAGGCGAGTGCTCTAACCACTCCACCGCAGGACTTTTTAAAAGAAAAAAATTAAACTGTGGATTTCCACAGTCGTCGGGAAAATTTCCCTAAGGTGTACAACGTGTAAATGTGGAAATTTCCACACAAACCACTGCCGCCCAAACACAGAACGGAAAGAACAGTGCAAATTTCCATCCCAATCGGCGACAGAGTAAATTTACTGTTATAACACCCAGCAGCGTAAACTCCCGCCTAAAGATTTACACCCACAATGTTCAAACTCAGCAAATTTATGCCTAAGATACAAATACACGGTTTCTCACACAGAAGCACGTTTCCGTCCAAAACACGAGTTTGGTGCATGTTTCCCGCGTAAAAACACGCTTCAAGGGTACATTTCCAAGTATTAACACAAGTCCCGTGCGCGCTTCTGTGTAAAACACACGTCCGGTTCACGTTCCTGTGTAAACCACTTACCCGGGGCACGTTTCTGTGTAAAACACACGCCCAGTGCACAGTTTTCTGTAAAACACACACCCGGTGCACGTTTCCGTGTAAAACACACGCCCAGTGCATGTTTCTGTGTAAAACACACGCCCAATGCACAGCTCTCTGTGAAACACACGCCCGGTGCATGTTTCCGTGTAAAACACACGCCCAGTGCACGTTTCTGTGTAAAACACACGCCCAATGCACAGCTCTCTGTAAAACACACGCCTGGTGCATGTTTCCGTGTAAAACACGCGCTCAGTGCACAATTCTCTGTAAAACACACGCCCGGTGCATGTTTCTGTGTAAAACACGCATTCGGTGCACATTTCCATGCAAAACATGCGTCCGATGTAGGTTTCTGTGTAAAACAAGAGTTCAGTGCAAGTTTCTGTGTAAAACGCATACTCTGGCATGTATCCGTGTAAAACACGTGTCCTATGTATGGTTTCATGAAAACACACGCCCAGTGCGTTTTCATGAAAAAGTTTCTATGTAAAACACACGTTTGGGAAATATTTCCCTGTAAAACACGTACTTGGCACATGTTCCCGTGTAAAACACATGTCCGGTACTCATTTCTACGTAAAGCCACTGCAGTCCAGTGCACGTTTTTGTGTGAAAAATGTGCCCGATGCACGTATCCTTGTAAAACACGCAGGCAGTGCACGTTTCTGTGTAAAACACGCACTTGGTTCACGTTTCTGTGTAAAACACGCACTTGGGGCATGTTTCTGTGTAAAACGCCCGCCTAGTGCACGCTTCTACGTAACACGCGCGTCCGTTGGGACGTTTCCGCGTAAAACACGCGTCCGGTGAATGTTCCCAAGTAAGACACCCGGCCGGTGCGCGGTGGTGGAAAACGCATACTCGGGGGCACGTTTTCTGCCTAAAACACACGCCGGGGTATACGCTTCCGAGCACAACACGCGTCCGATACACATTTCCGTGCGGAACACGCGTCCGGTGCACGTTTCAGCGCCTTGGGACGTCCTCCCGACGCGAAAGGTGCCACACAAACGGCAATTCCGTCCTGTCGCCTCCGCGGAAAACAAGCGGCGAGGTGGAAGCTTCTGCGGAAAAACCCGCCCTCCCTCCCTCCCTGCACGTTTCTGTTGGGAGCGAACACCGCGACGCTCTATTTTCCTGCACGTCCGAAGAGGAACCTGTCCGCCGCCCCGCGCCGCGGTGCGGTTGTAAGACGAAAACGTAAAAAAAAAAAGAAAAAAAGAAGGAAACCCGAGAAACGAAACGCACCAAAACTCGCGCACGGCTGCGACCGGACGAATACCCGCCCTGAAGCACGCGCCAAATTTCCGCGCGTAACGCGCCCGCGCGAACTCCCCGCTCGCCGCAAGCCGACAGAATTTGTCGCGCGCCCCCCCCCCCCCCCCACCGCCCCGTCCAAAGCCACAGAGCCGAAAAGAGAGTCACCAAGACCGACACAACGGGACTCCACGCGGCACCGGGGGCGGGCGGGCGGGTGGGATGGATTAGCAGCGCCCTGGGAACTCTGCGTGCGTCACCTACCCCCGGGTCGGACAACAACAACAACTTTCATCCGCAAGAGCGTCCCAGAGCGCGCGCACCCCCCCTCCCCCCCCGGGAATTCGCATCGCGCCCCCCGGGGAGGGGGTTGGTTGGCGTTTGCGCGAAGGTTGGCATTGCACGGGGAGGAGTGGGGTGGGGGGGGGGGGGGGTGGTGGTGAGTGGGAGGGGGTGGGGTGGGGAGTGGGGGGGGCGTTTGGTTTGCATTGCAACGGGGATGTGTATTGCATTGCATTGAGATTTTTTGCATCGCGCCCGGGGTGGGCATTGCCCTGGAGTGGGTGGGGGGGGGTGTGTGGGGGGGGGGGGTGGGGTGGGGGTTGCATTGCCCCCCACCCCCACCCCCTGCACCGGGGCGACCAGTCCAGTCAGTGAGAGAGAGAGGGAGAGGGGGGAGTGAGTGAGTGACAGGTGTCGGTTGCTGGGCGAGCCCCGGCCCCGGTTGCTAGGGGGGTGGGCGCCAAAAAAAAAAGGATGTGGGGGTCGCGCGAGCCGCTGCGCTTGACTGGAGAGCCTCGCGCCGCTTCCCGCCCTCGCGCGCCCACCACCACCACCAACCGCCAACCGCCACCCGGCCCGCGGGCCGCGCCGTCAGAGCCCGACCGCTGCTCCGCTCGGGCGGGTTGAGCGGGAAAGGGGAAGGCGGGCGAGCGGGCGGGGAGGTGGGGGCTACCGTTTGAGCTTCTAACCCAAACCCCCGCCCGCCCCGCCCCGCCCGCCTCGGCCTCTCCTCAAACCGTGCAGCCGCGGGGAGGAGGGAGGGAGAGGGAGTGAGAGGGAGGGAGAGGGAGAGGAGAGGAAACAACGGAGCTCTGAGGTGAGAGGGAGAGGCCCTCCCGCTCCCGCTCCTCTCGTCACCTCACACACACACACACACACCGAGCGCGCGCGCGCGCTCTCTCTCTCTCCCTCTCCCCCTCACACTCCCTCCCTCCCTCCCTCACCTCACCTCCCCAACCCCGGCTCTCCCCTCTCTCCCTCCCTCCCTCCCTCCCCACGCTCTCCCCCGCCCGCCCGCCGGTTGTTGTTACTCACAGCCTGTCTCCCCCGCTCGGCGCGGCGGCCATTTTCAAATGGTTTTGCAGCCCGCGTCACAGCGGCCACAGCCAGCAGCCGCCGCCAGGCCCCGCTCTCGCGAGATCGCGGCGGCCCGAGTCCCCGCGCGGGGAGAGAGCGGGAGAGAGGGGGGGGGAGGGGCCAAGGGAGGGGGAGGGGCCAGGGGAGGGGGGCGGGGCCAGGAGAGCGGGAGAGCCTTGACAAGTTCTCACTCACTGACTGACTCTCTCTCACTCACACTCCCTCATTCTCACTCACTCACTCTCACTCGCTCACTCACTGACTGACTCACTCGCTCACTCTCACTCACTCTCTCACTGACTCACTCACTCATTCTCGCTCACACTCACTCTCTCACTGACTCACTCTCACTCACTGACTCACTCGCTCACTCTCACTCACTCTCTCACTGACTCACTCGCTCACTCTCACTCACTGACTCACTCACTCGCTCACTCTCACACTCACTCTCTCATCTCACCTCACTCGCTCACTCTCACTCACTCTCTCACTGACTCACTCGCTCACTCTCACTCACTCGCTCACTCTCACTCACTCTCTCACTGACTCACTCGCTCACTCTCACTCACTCGTTCTCACTCACTCACTGACACTCACTCACTGACACTCTCATTCACTCACTCTCACTCACTCACTGACTCTCACTCTCTCACTGACTCACTCTCTCACTGACTCACTCACTCACTCACTGACTCTCACTCTCTCACTGACTCACTCACTCTCTCACTGACTCACTCACTGACTCACTCACTGACTCTCACTCATTCACTCTCACTCACTCATTCCTTCACTCACTCACTCACTCTCATTCCTTCACTCACTCTCTGACTCACTCTCATTCCTTCACTACTCACTCTTTCACTCTCTCTCATTCCTTCACTAATTCACTCGCTCTCTTCACTCCCTCCCTCACACTCACTAACTCACTCTCTCTCTTCACTCACTCCCTCATACTCACTCACTCATCTCTCGCGTCTTTACTGTTTTCTTCACTCACTCATTAACTCATCTCTCACTTCACACTCTCTCATTCCTTCACTTATTCAACTCCTTCACTATCTCCTTCGCTTGTTCACTTGCTGACTCTCACTCCCTCACTTTCTCTCTCCTTCACTCTCACTTCTTCATTCACACCCCTTCACTCTCTTTCGCTCACTACTTCACTCAACTCCCTCACTCCTTCCATCTAACACTTAACTCCGTCAGTCCTTCCATCTAACTCACTTTCTTCATTCAGTGACTCTCACTCTCTTTCTCTCACTCCTTCGCTTCCTCTCACCTTCACTCTCACTTCTTCAGTGACTCTTTCCTCCACTCTCTCATTCACTCATTGACTTCTTCACGCCCTCATTCACTCACCGACTCCTTCGCTCTCTCCTTCATTGACCCTCACTCCTTCGCTCTCATTCACTCTCTCACTCACTCATTCCTTATAAAAACAATACAATAACAAATTACTTTTCACGTCGGGAGGATGTCCAAAGACACTGAACACTGGCGTGAGGTGAGTGAGCGATTTTATTTGGGGGCTCGTCGGCCGGGCCACCGGGAGAGAGAGAAACTTCAATCTCTTTTCAAGTAAGGCCACAGGAGATCTTTAACCTACACTTGAACGGGGCGTAGATGGGGAGTGAGTATAGGGTTTAACGTCTCATCCGAAAGACGGCGTCTCCGACAACGCACAGACCACCGCCGCCCCCCACCCCCACCCCATTGCTGTACACAAGCTTAATTGGGAAGGCAGAAAGCTGAGACTTTTTTTGCCTGTTTTAAAAAAAAAGTCACAGCACTAAGAACTGGGAAGCATTTTGAGGTTATAAAACATGATAAAAACACAATTTCATCTGCGTATCGCCCCTGCGCAAGATTCTGTAACAGCCACTGGGTCTGCTGTCATCTGGTGGTGGATGTTATGTCAGCATCGCTTACTGTGTTTATACTGTATTCTATTTGACACAGCGGCTTATCACGTCGTCGAGAAGTCTCGAAGCACTGCACGGAATATATATTGTAAAGTTGATTGACTGTGTATTTTGTGGCAAACCACGGCAGCCACATCGGCTTATACATGTATAAGCCGATGCCCCAACGCGCTGCTGGGGTGACCGCATTCTTCTTCCTCTTCTTGTGTAAATATTGATCTGCCGGACTCCAATTCACGCCTGTTTATGGGACGTCGCTGTGCGCAATTGGCCCCCGCGTTTCACCCACAAATAATAATAATAATCCTTGTATTGGATACAGCGCTTTTCACGTCGGGAGGACGTCCCAAAGCGCTTCACAGAACACACTGTAAAGTGAATTGACTGTATATTTGTGGGCGAACGCGGCAGCCAATTGCGCACAGCAATGCCCCACAAACAGTCGTGGATTGAAAATGACCAATTTATTATCGTTTTTGTTTTGGAGGAATTATTATTAGGGCTCTGTGTGGAGTAAGGAAACTTGCCCGAGGTTTCGCCCTCTGTCTGGAAATGAACTCACGTCTCTCTCTCGCAAAGCGAGTGCTCTAACCACTGAGCTACAGGACTCCACACTACACAGTCAGTTCACTTTACCCCTGCGAAGCGCTTTGAGACGCCTCAAAGACGTGATAAGGCGCTGTGGCAAATGCAAGGATTATTACTATTATCATTATTATTGTTATTATCATCGTCAGCCGGGCTCGGAGAGCAAGGAGCCTGGACTGATTGGTCCCTTTCTCTTCCTCTAACCGCATCCACACTGGCTTAGTCAGTCAGGAGTGGAGTGGGAGTGGGATGGGCTGACAGTGAGAGCCTTTCCTTTAACAAGATGGCGACTAACGCTGATTTCCCTTTACCAAGATGGCGGCCGGCCAGTGGCGGGGCGCGGGGGCCTTCCCTTTACCAAGATGGCGGCTGGCGAACGGGAGGGGAGCCTTTCCTTTAACAAGATGGCGACTAACGCTGATTTCCCTTTACCAAGATGGCGGCCGGCCAGTGGCGGGGCGCGGGGGCCTTCCCTTTACCAAGATGGCGGCTGGCGCGTCTTCCCTTTGCCAAGATGGCGGCGCGCGTCCAGCGATGAGAGGCCGAGAAGGCGGCGCTGTGCTGTGTCGGGGTTCCCGCTCGGTGGCGGCCATGGGCGAGGAGAGCAGCCCCGTCAGCGTGATCCTGGTCAGCTCCGGCAGCCGCGGCAACAAACTGCTCTTCAGATACCCCTTCCTGCGGCCACAGGAGCAGCCCGGGGCCCAGAGCAGTGAGTCTGCGGGTGTAGTGACTGTCAGTGTGTGTGTAGTGACTGTCAGTGTGTGTGTAGTGACTGTGTGTCTGTGTGTAGTGACTGTGTGTCTGTGTGTGGTGATTGTGTGTCAGTGTGTGTGTAGTGACTGTGTGTCTGTGTGTAGTGACTGTGTGTCAGTGTGTGTGTAGTGTCTGTGTGTGTGTAGTGTGTGTGTGTGTGTAGTGACTGTGTGTCAGTGTGTGTGTAGTGACTGTGTGTGTGGTGACTGTGTGTCAGTGTGTGTGTAGTGACTGTGTGTGTCTGTGTGTAGTGACTGTGTGTGTAGTGACTGTGTGTCAGTGTGTAGTGACTGTGTGTCAGTGTGTAGTGACTGTGTGTCTGTGTTTAGTGACTGTGTGTCAGTGTGTAGTGACTGTGTCAGTGTGTGTAGTGATTGTGTGTCAGTGTGTGTGTGTAGTGATTGTGTGTCTGTGTGTAGTGACTGTGTGTCTGTGTGTAGTGACTGTGTCAGTGTGTGTAGTGATTGTGTGTCAGTGTGTGTGTAGTGACTGTGTGTGTGGTGACTGTGTGTCAGTGTGTGTAGTGACTGTGTGTGTGTGTGTGTAGTGACTGTGTGTCTGTGTGTAGTGACTGTGTGTCAGTGTGTAGTGACTGTGAGTCTGTAGTGTGTAGTGACTGAGAGCAATGAGTGATTCAGTGCGCGCCTTCGCGTGTCAGATTCCCGGCGACTGACTGACTGACTGACTGACGTCTCTCCCACAGACACTCCCAGGAGTCGATATGCTTTCCGCAGCGCAGTGGAGAGCGTTGAGGACCAGGACGGAGATTCCAGGTACTGTTCACGGAGGCTACGCCTTCAGTCCAGCACTGCGCTGGGGGTGGGTGGGGGGGGGGAGTGCTGCGTTGTCAGAGACACCGTCCTTTGGGTCAGTGGCGTCCTGCAGTGTGGTTGGCCCAAGCGAGAGGACCTGGGCCGGACTAAACGTTGGGCAAGTTTCCTTACTCCGCTCACACGCGCGGGCCTCGGTTTACCGGCTGTCAGTAGGAGTGACTTGTTAGTTGGTGTGCGGATCGCTTTCCGGGGGTAATAATCCCTTCGCGACAATAATAAACCGGTCGCTCAATCCACGACCGTTCGTGGGGAGGTCGCCGGGCGCAGTGGGGCCCGCCGCGTCTCGCTCCACGAAAATACACGGTCGCTTCGCCTCGCGGTGTTTGCCGGGAGGTGCTCTGAGATGACTCGGAGACACGGTAAGGCCACGTGTTTGTTTTTGGAGGGTTTGCTAACAGCCGGGTTGCTGCTGGTCAACTGCGTGTGCGCGTGCGTGCGTGCGTGTGCGTGTGCGGAGAGCACGGAAACTCGCCGAAGGTTTGGACCTGCCCGGGAATTGAACCCAGGCCCTCTCGTTTGCGAGTCGAACCACTGCCCTGCAGGACTCCGCGGTTATAGGACGTCTGATTATCTGTTGGTGTCTCTCTGGGTGAACGCGAGTTGTCGTGAGGACGGTTGTGTGGTGGAGCCCGTGTTCGTGTACCTGGCTCTCTTTCCCGCCCCACCCGGGTTGTCCTGTTGTTGTGGGATTGTGTGAGTCTCTGTTTGGTTTGTTCTCATCATCTCACCCCTTTCAGAAACCCGTCTCCTCCAACTGACGAAGAGTTGGTATCAGGGTAAGAGATCTGCCTTCCTCGCCAGCTACCCCCGACCTGCCCTGCCCTGCCCCGCCCTGCCCCACTCTCTATGTGTGGTGTGCGTGTGTCTCTCCCTCTTTCTCTCTGCGTTGTTCTGTCTCTGTCTCTCTCTCTTACTTTGTCTATCTCTACCTATCTGTCGCTCTGTGTCTTTCTCTCTGTCTCTCTCTGTCTGTTTCTTTATCTCTGTTTTTTTTTTCTCCGTTTCTCTCCATCTCTCTCCGTGTCTGTGTATGTGTGTCTCTCTCACTCTGCCTCTCTCTCTCCATCTCCAATGAGAGGCAGACTGTGTCTCTCTCTGCATCTCTTTCTTACTTTGTCTACCTGTGTCTGTCTGTCTGCGTGCCTGTCTTTCTCTTTATCTCCCTGACTCTCCACATCCCTCTCTCTCTCTCTCTCTCTACCCATCTCTCTCTCTCTCTCTATCACACCCAAGCCCTCCTCTACCTCTCCTCTCCCCACCCACCTTGTCCAGTGTCTCCCCTGCTTGCCTACCTCCTTTACCCAGTGATCAGATCCAGTCGAAGTGATCAGCAAATGATTCAGTAGAAGTTAGTTCCCAATGGATGGTTCCAATCAACAATCAGCCGAGGGCGGGTGGGGGGAGAGAGAGGGCGCCGGTGGGGTGGGGCTGGGGGGATATTTGATTTACACGGTTGATCCTATTTCCTGTAAGTTTATTTTCATTCCAATTTTCCCCGATCAATAATCTCTCTTCCCTTTGGCCTCTCCAAGGTTCTCAGACGCCATCTTGGCCACTATCCTGGCCACCAAGTCAGACATGTGCGGCAGGAAGTTTGAGCTGAAGATCGACAACGTGCGCTTCGTGGGACACCCGACACTTCTCCAGCACTCGCTGGGTCTGCAGGTCAGGGTTAGAGACACAGTAACGCTCCCTCTACACTGTGCGTCCACACTCCCAGGTCAGGGTTAGAGACACAGTAAAGCTCCTCTACACTGTGTGTCCACACTCCCAGGTCAGGGTTAGAGACACAGTAAAGCTCCTCTACACTGTGCGTCCACACTCCCAGGTCAGGGTTAGAGACACAGTAAAGCTCCTCTACACTGTGTGTCCACACTCCCAGGTCAGGGTTAGAGACACAGTAAAGCTCCTCTACACTGTGCGTCCGTCCACACTCCCAGGTCAGGGTTAGAGACACAGTGACCCTCTCTCACTCTCTGTTGCAGGTGTCTAAATTGGATCCGTCTCCAAAGCGAGAGATGCCAACGATGATTCTCTTCAACGTAGTGTTTGCCTTAAGGGTAATGGCTGCCTTTCTCTCTCTCTCTCTCTCTCTCTCTCTCACACACACACACACCCCCACATGCCTGTGTCCCCGGCAGTCAGTAGGAACCCGCTCGTCAGTCGATTGGGGGATCGCTTTCCAGGGGTAATAATCCCTTCAAAATAATAATAATTCGGTCACTTCAACCCCGCGGCTGTTTGTGGGGACGTCGCCGGGCGCCATCGGCTGCCACGTTTCGCCCGCAAAACACAGTCACGACACTTTACAGTGTGTCCTGGGAAGCGCTTTGAGATGTCTCGACGTCGTGATCAGGCGCCGGGTCAAATGCCAGGAATATTATTGTTCTCCCCCTCCCACAGGCTAACGCAGGGCCCTCTGTGATCGCCTGTATGCACACCCTGTCCAGACGGATCGCCATTGTTCTGCAGCACGAGGAACAGCGATGTCAGTACCTGAGCCGCCAGGCCAAGCTGATGTTAGCCATTCAGGACGAGGTGGCCTCCATGTCTGACAGTGAGTCACAGTCACTCCACTGTGTCTGTAACCTTCTAACACACAGCCTAGAGCGAGTTTTACTGCGTCTCTAACCCTGACCTGGGAGTGTGGACGGACACACAGTGTAGAGGAGCTTTACTGTGTCTCTAACCCTGACCTGGGAGTGTGGACACACAGTGTAGAGGGGCTTTACTGTGTCTCTAACCCTGACCTGGGAGTGTGGGCGCACAGTGTAGAGGAGCGTTACTGTGTCTCTAACCCTGACCTGGGAGTGTGGACGCACAGTGTAGAGGATTACTGTGTCTCTAACCCTGACCTGGGAGTGTGGACACACAGTGTAGAGGAGCTTTACTGTGTCTCTAACCCTGACCTGGGAGTGTGGACACACAGTGTAGAGGAGCTTTACTGTGTCTCTAACCCTGACCTGGGAGTGTGGACACACAGTGTAGAGGAGCGTTACTGTGTCTCTAACCCTGACCTGGGAGTGTGGACACACAGTGTAGAGGAGCGTTACTGTGTCTCTAACCCTGACCTGGGAGTGTGGACACACAGTGTAGAGGGAGCGTTACTGTGTCTCTAACCCTGACCTGGGAGTGTGGACACACAGTGTAGAGGAGCGTTACTGTGTCTCTAACCCTGACCTGGGAGTGTGGACACACAGTGTAGAGGAGCGTTACTGTGTCTCTAACCCTGACCTGGGAGTGTGGACACACAGTGTAGAGGAGCGTTACTGTGTCTCTAACCCTGACCTGGGAGTGTGGACACACAGTGTAGAGGAGCGTTACTGTGTCTCTAACCCTGACCTGGGAGTGTGGACACACAGTGTAGAGGAGCGTTACTGTGTCTCTAACCCTGACCTGGGAGTGTGGACACACAGTGTAGAGGAGCGTTACTGTGTCTCTAACCCTGACCTGGGAGTGTGGACACACAGTGTAGAGGAGCGTTACTGTGTCTCTAACCCTGACCTGGGAGTGTGGACACACAGTGTAGAGGAGCTTTACTGTGTCTCTAACCCTGACCTGGGAGTGTGGACGCACAGTGTAGAGGAGCGTTACTGTGTCTCTAACCCTGACCTGGGAGTGTGGACGCACAGTGTAGAGGAGCGTTACTGTGTCTCTAACCCTGACCTGGGAGTGTGGACACACAGTGTAGAGGAGCGTTACTGTGTCTCTAACCCTGACCTGGGCGTGAGGAGGGACAGTGTTACTCTGGGTTTGTGACTGGGTTGTGTTGGTGTTTAGGTGATGGCTCTCAGTCTCCGTTTCACCACATTCTCCCGAAGTGTAAACTGGCCACAGACCTGAAGAAAGCCTATGATAGGTCAGTCCTCTGTGTGGTGAGAGTATCAGTGTGTGTGTGTGTGTGTATGTTGGTCAGTCAGTCAGTGTGTGTGTGTGTGTGTCGGTCAGTGTGTGTGTACCATAGGATTACTGTGTGTGGTGTTGAGGATATGTGTGAGTGTCAGTGTGTGTATACCACAGGAGTGATGTGGTATGTTTGTCAGTCTATGTACCGTGGGGGGTGTGTGTGTGTCTGTGTACCACAGAGGTGATGTGTTGTGCGCGTATCTGTATGTGTGTCAGTCTATATACCACGGGTGGGTGGGTGGGTGTGTGTCTATGTACCACGAGATTATTGTGTGTGTGTGTCTGTGTACCACAGAGGTGATGTGTTGTGCGCGTGTCTGTATGTGTGTCAGTCTATATACCACGGGTGGGTGTGTGTGTGTGTGTTGTTGTACCACGAGATTGTTGTGTGTGTGGTGTTGAGGTGATGTGTGTGTGTGTGTCAGTCTATGTACCACAGGCGTGATGAGGCTACACATTAATAACTGGCTGGAGGTGAGCTTCTGTTTGCCCCACAAGATTCACCAGATCGGCTCCCACTACATCCCCCCCAACGCCATCGAGAGGAGCCTCAAAGCTATCCGGTAAGACGGCCTTGCCTCCCTCCCTCCTACCTGCTCCCCACACGTGTGTGTCTGTGTGTGTGTGTGTGTGTGTGTGTGTGTGTGACCAACTTGCTCTCACACACACACACACGCACATACTTGTGCGTACTTCGAGGCACGCTCTCACTCTCGCGCGCCAATTCTCTCAGGCATGCTCACAGTTGCACAATCGTCACATACGCGCGCGCACGCCTGAGACACGCGCGCACACTCCTGAGACACGCGCGCACACTCCTGAGACACGCGCGCACACTCCTGAGACACGCGCGCACACTCCTGAGACACGCGCGCACACACACTCGCACACGCTCTCTCTCTCGGGCACACTATCTCACACACACGCTCATTCTCTTTCACACACACTCTCTCACACAAACCTTACCATGCTCTCTCTCTCCCCCCCCCACTCTCTCTCTCTGCCCCCCCCCCCGCTCCCCCCCCACCCCCTCTCTCTCTCCCACCCCTCTCTCTCCCCCACCCCTCTCTCTCTGCACCCCCCCCCTCGCTACCCCCAACCCCTTCTCTTCTCCACCCTTTCTCTCCCCCCCCCTCTCTCACACGTTCTCTCTCACACACCCTCTCATTCCCTTCCTCTCACTCTCTCTCCTTCACACCCTCTCTCTCTCTCTCTCTCTCTCTCTCTCACACCCAGACCATACCACGCTCTGCTGTTGCTGGATGATGAGAAGGTGTTACTGACACAGTTACCTGTGGATTGCTCTCCCGCCCTTGTGAGGGTCATCAAAACCTCCTCAGCCACCAAGAACATACAGCAACTGGCCCAGGACGCTGATCTGGCTCTGCTCCAGGTAACATACCTCACCTGGACACAGGTAACATACTTCACCTGGGCACAGGTGACCCTACCTCACCTGGGCACAGGTGACCCTACCTCACCTGGGCACAGGTGACCCTACCTCACCTGGGCACAGGTGACCTTACCTCACCTGGGCACAGGTGACCCTGCCTCACCTGGGCACGGGTGACCCTGCCTCACCTGGGCACAGGTAATAATAATAATCCTTGCGTTTGACACAGCGCCTCATCACGTCTTCGAGACGTCTCAAAGTGCTTCACGGGATGCACTGTAAAGTAGTGACTGTGTGTTTTGTGGGCGAAAAGTCGTGGGTTGAAGTGACCAAATTATTATTGTTGTTTCGAAGGGACTATTCCCCCCGGAAAGTGATCCCCCAATCGACTGACAAGCGATTCCTACTGACTGCCGGGGACACAGGGGCCTGTGTGTGTGGGTGCGGCTGGGAATCGAACCCAGGTCCTCTGGCTCGCGAGGCGAGCGCTATAAGCACTGAGCTGCAGGACTCTGTTGCTGTCACAGTGACCTCTATGTACTGCGCTCCTCAGGTGTTCCAGTTGGCTGCTCACCTCGTGTACTGGGGTAAAGCCATCATCATCTACCCCCTGTGTGAGAACAACTTCTACATGCTCAGCCCTGATGCTAACATCTCAACGTGAGTCACGAGCCGACCGTGTGCCTCCTTACTCCATCCTCACAGCTCTGCCTCACAGTGCGGAGACAGACACACACACCAGTGTACAGACACGCACACAATCATAAACACACACACACACACCAACATATATACACACACACACACTCCAGTGTACAGACACGCACGACAATCATAAACACACACACAGAGAAACACACTAACATATATATACACACAAACTTACACGCACACACACCAGTGTACAAACACGCACACAATCATAAACAGACACACACTAACATATATACACAGACAAACTTACACGCACACACACCAGTGTACAAACACGCACACAATCATAAACAGACACACACTAACATATATACACAGACAAACTTACACGCACACACACCAGTGTACAAACACGCACACAATCATAAACAGACACACACTAACATATATACACAGACAAACTTACACGCACACACACCAGTGTACAAACACGCACACAATCATAAACAGACACACACTAACATATATACACAGACAAACTTACACACACACACACCGATGCACAGATACGCACACAATCATAGGCACACACACACTAACATATATACACACAAACTTACACACACACACCAATGTACAGACACAAACGCAATCATAAGCACACACGCACTAACATGTACACACAGAAACATGCGCTGAAACAGACGCACACACGCAGAGGGAGAGCTACAGTGTGGGGGGAGCGAGCCACAGCGCGGACACGAATGGGGGGAGTGGGGGGGGTGATGTGTTTTGTGTGTCTGACCCCTGCGCTCTCTCTCTCCCTCCCCCTCTCTCTCCCAGGTATTCCCCACTGGCTGATCAATTTGCTCAGCAATTTCCCGGCAACGACATCCTGACTGTTCTCTCAAAGTTCTCTCTACCAACCTCTCTCTCGCAGTTTAAGAATCCGCTCGCTCCCCCCATGCAGGAGGTAAGTACCTTCAGTTCCCCCCCCACCCCCAGATATACACACGCACACACACACACACGCCACACGTACACGCGTACACACGTACACACACCACACATACACACAAACACACCCGTGTCCTGCAGCTCAGTGGTTGGAGAGCTCACTCTGCAAGTGAGGGGACCTGGGTTTGATTGCCGGCAGGTCAGGGCGAAACCTTTGGCAAGTTTCCTTACTCCACACACACACACGCACACGCGTGCACGTACACACACACACACACACACACGCACCGGTTGACCTAGCAGTACGTAGGAACTCACTTGTCAGTTGATTGGCGGATCACTTTTCCGGGGGCAATCGACCATACCTTCAGAAATAAATAAGATAAATAAAAAATAATAATAATAATGTGGTCACTCAGCCCACGGCTGATGGGGGCAATTGGCTGCCCACGTTTCGCCCACAAAGCGTACGGTCGCCACACTTTGCAGTGCACAGTGAGACGTCTCGACGACGTGATAAGGCGTTGTGTCAAGTTCAAGGATTATTATAATAACCTCTTTCTCTGTGTGTGTGTGTGTGTGTCTCTCTCCCTCTCTCTCTCTGTCTCCCTCCCCCTCTCCTCTCTCTCTCTCTCCCCCCCTCTGTCTGTCTCTCTCTCTGTCTCCCTCCCGCCCCCTCTTTCTCTCTTTCTCTCTCCCTGTGTCTCCAGGCCCAGTTGGTACAGATGATGATCTGGATGTTGCAGCACCGGCTGCTGATACAGCTCCACACGTACGTGTGTCTGCTGGTGCCGGCCGGCGGGGAGGAGGGGGGCTCCAGCCGCGACCAGGACAGGCCCCTCCCAGCCCGAGTGGGGGGCAGGAGCCTCAGCACCCCCAACGCTCTCAGCTTCGGCTCCCCCAGTACGTACTGCTCCCCCCTCCCTCCCCCCCCCCTCCCCCACTCCACTTCCCCACACTGGAGCCCTCTGAACTCATTCCCCTTCTCTCTCTATCCCTCTCTCTCCCCCACCATCGTATCTGTGCTGGTGTGCTGGGAGTGTGGACACACAGTGTAGAGGAGCTTTACTGTGTCTCTAACCCTGACCTGGGAGTGTGGACACACAGTGTAGAGCTTTACTGTGTCTCTAACCCTGACCTGGGAGTGTGGACACACAGTGTAGAGGAGCGTTACTGTGTCTCTAACCCTGACCTGGGAGTGTGGACACACAGTGTAGAGGAGCTTTACTGTGTCTCTAACCCTGACCTGGGAGTGCGGACGGACGCACAGTGTAGAGGGAGGGTTACTGTGTTACTGAGGCTCTGTGCTGTCCTGCCCACAGCGAGCAGTGATGAGATGACGCTGACCAGCCCCAGTATGGAGACGTCGAGTGCGGAGTTGCTGGGTGGAGGAGATTCCCCGCTCAGTAAGAGAGTGACGGAGACGCTATTGGCCAGTCTGTCCGAGACAGAGCGAAGAGCCATCCTCAACGTCCCCGCTGCCCAGAACCCAGAGGATCTCCGGATGTTTGCCAAGTACGTGTCTGTGTGCGTGTGTGTCTGTGTGTGTGTGTGTGAGAGAGATTCCACAACAGTGTGTGTGAGGTGTGTGCGTATCTGTGTCTCTAACCCTGACACACACACACTCACACACACAGTGGCGTCCTGTGGCTCAGTGGTTAGAGCACTCCTGGGTTCGAAATGTTGGGCAAATTTGGATGGTGATAATCCCTCCAAAAAATATATAATAATCCGGTCACTCAATCCACTGTCTGTGGGGACGTCGCTGGGCGCAATTGGCTGCCACGAAATATAGTTACTTCACTTTACAGCGTATCCTGTGAAGCGCTTTGAGATGTCTCAACGACGTGATAAGGCGCCGGGTCAAATGCGAGGATTATTATTGGTACCTTCATTAATAATGTGTGTGTCTCTCCCCTCTCTCCCCTCTCTCCTCTCTCTCCCCTCCCCCCTTCCCTCTCCCCCCTCCTCTCCCCCACCCCCTTCGCTCAGGCTCCTCCACTACTTCCAGGGACGTCACCACCTGGAGGTGATCATGTACAGTGAGAACATGAGGCGTTCAGCGCTGTTGATGCTGATCGACAAGTTCCGCAGCGTGTTGGTGGTCCGGAACCACGAAGACCCCATCATCTCCGTCTTCCAGTCGCCCTTCGTGTGATTGTCCGCTTAAGACCTGCGCGGAGGCCTGTAGTGAAGTGGTCAGAGCGCTCTCTTGCTCGCTCACTCGCTCGCTCGCCTCGCAAGCAAACGAGAGGATCCGGGTTCGATTCCCGGCAGGAATATTATTCCACACGCACACGCAGACACGCGCGCACACGCACGTCTCTGTTTACTCAGCAGTAATAATAATAATAATAATAATCCTGGCATTTGACGTAGCGCCCTATCACGTCTTCGAGATGTCTCAAAGCGCTTCACAGGACGCACGGTTAAAGTGTAGTGACTGTGTGCACAGGGTGACCAAAAAGTTATGGTACCAATTGCGATGTCTGATACGTCATAAAAGAAATGACGAGGTGTTTTTTTTTTGTAGATAGTAGAGTAGATATCACAACTTTTTGGTCGCCCTGTATTTTGTGGGTGAAACGCGGCAGCCAGTCGCGCGCAGCAGTGTCCCCACAAACAGTCGTGGATTGAGTGACTATTATTTTTTTTATTTTTTTTGAAGGGATTATTACCCCCGGAAAGCGATCCACCCATCGACAAACAAATGGGTTCCTATTTACTGCTGGTAAACAGATGTGTGTGTGTGTGTGTGTGGAGTAAGGAAACTTGCCTAAGGTTTCGTCCTGACCCGCCCAGGAATCGAATCCAGGTCCTCTTGGTTGCGAGGCGAGGGCTCTAACCTCTACACTACAGGACTTCAGTAAGTAGGATTTTGCTTGTTAATTGAGTGGCGGATCGCTTTTACGGGGTAATAATGTTATGATTTCCCCCAGGCCCGGCACTGAAGGGGTTACGTCCGTCACCGACTTGTGTAAATGTATTAAACCCTCGGGTCTCTGCTCTGAGGAGGAAGTCATTAAAGAGGATTTAAAAGCAGCTGCAAACCCCAAATCCATTATAGTTCAGACACAAACTGATAAGCTCTACGTGTCTCTCTTCAGCTTCCTGACGTGGCTTCATTGTGTGTGTGTGTGTGTCTGTGTGTCTGTGTCTCCGCGTGTCTGTGTGTCTGTGTCTCCGCGTCTCTGTGTGTCTGTGTCTCCGCGTGTCTGTGTGTGTCTGTGTCTCCGCGTCTCTGTGTGTCTGTGTCTCCGCGTGTCTGTGTGTCTGTGTCTCCGCGTGTCTGTGTGTGTCTGTGTCTCCGTGTGTCTGTGTGTCTGTGTCTCCGCGTCTCTGTGTGTCTGTGTCTCCGCGTGTCTGCGTGTCTGTGTCTCCGTGTGTGTCTGTGTCTCCGCATCTCTGTATGTCTGTGTCACTGTGTATCTGCTTGTGTGTGTGTGTGTGTATGTGTGTGTCTCTTGATCTTCCTCCCCGCACAAACAGATTTGTTCCTCGCCTGGCTCTGTGTGTGTGGGGTGTCTGGGTGCCTGGGATCATCTGGGAGTGTGGACGGACACACAGTGTGAGGAGCTTTACTGTGTCTCTAACCCTGACCTGGGAGTGTGGACACACAGTGTAGAGGGAGCGTTACTGTGTCGCTAACGCTTTGTATGAAACACGTTGCGATGTCCTGAGTGAATGAGGCGCTCGTTCAAATATTAGCACTTATAATTACCTTAATTAATTGGCGTTTAATTGGCTGTTCTGCTTTCCTGTTTGTTAACATCTTTATCGCCTAATTTTATTTGTTAGAATGAAGTCACTTAGTATAAAGCACTTAGATGTAAATCTCGGGATTAGTCTCTCTCTCTCTCCAAGTCAGAAGGTTGTGAGTTTGAACCCCACAGACACACAGACACTCACAGACACACACACACTCACAGACACACACACACTCACAGACACACTCACAGACACAGACACACTCACAGACACACTCACAGACACACACACACTCACAGACACACTCACAGATACACACACACTCACAGACACACACACACTCACAGACACACACACACTCACAGACACACACACACTCACAGACACACACACACTCACAGACACACTCACAGACACACACACACTCACAGACACACTCACAGATACACACACACTCACAGACACACTCACACACACACACACTCACAGACACACTCACAGACACACACTCACAGACACAGACACACTCACAGACACACTCACAGACACACACTCACAGACACAGACACACTCACAGACACACACAGACTCACAGACACACTCACAGACACACACACACACACAGACACACTCACAGACACACACACACTCACAGACACAGACACACTCACAGACACACACACACTCACAGACACACAGACACAGACACACTCACAGACAGCGTGTGTGTGTATGTGGAGAAAGGAAACTTGCCTAAGGTTTCAACAACAACAACAACAACAAAATGACATTTATAGAGCGCCTTTCATGTCGGGAGGACGTCAGCTGTCGGGGCCCGAGGATGGGGAAGGGCTGAGGGAAGGCAGAGAGGTGGGAGGGAGACCAAAGACATGGTCGAAGAGGAGGGTCTTGAGACCGGCCTTGAAGGAGGTGAGGGAGGAAGCGAGGGAAGGGACCACGGGATGGAGTGTGGGGGCGGAGAGGCTGAAAGCCCGGCCACCGATGGTCGGGCGGGTGGGGCGGGAGGCATGGAGCAGCCCGGAGCCCGCTGGACGGAGGGAGCGGGCAGGTGGGTAGGGAGCCAGCAGGTCAGAGAGGGTAGGAGGGGGCGAGGCCACGGACGGCCTTAAAGGTGAGGACGAGGATCTTGACCTCGACCCGATCTGACCCGGGAATCGAACCCGGGATCCCCCGGCTCGCGAGGTGAACGCTCTGACCGCTGAGCGACAGAATTTTCCTTTCTCACTCCGTCAGAACTATCTGCGTCTTAATCTTGTCAAGTCCTTATAGGATCTCGGGCTCCGTTATAGGATTAGGGATGGTGAAAGGGGCTTTTCTGTGGGATTATTGTACTCCGCTCAACATCCTGCTCCTTCTCGCTCGCTAAACCCCCGCTCTTATCGGAGAGTTGGGTGAGGGAGATTTGTTTAAACCGCAGAGAGAGAGAGAGAGAGAGAGAGGAGAGCAAAGGAAATAATAATAATAATCCTTGCATTTGATCCAGCGCCTTATCGCGTCTTCGAGACGTCTCAGAGCGCTGCACGGGCCCCGCTGTGAAGTGTAGTGACTGCCCGGGTTGTGGGCGTGTGTGAAACCAGGACGCTCGCCCAACGCGTCGCCCTGACCCGGCCCGGCCGGGAATCGAACCCGGATCCCCCGGCCTCGCGAGGTGAGGGGCTCCAACCCCCCCCTGAGCCGCAGGACTCCGCAACGTGACGGCAAAGTCTCGCAAAGCCGCAGTTCCACCGCGTCGCCAGAAGGCGGCGATGCTGCCGCACAAACTTGCTCCTGATCTCTCGCCCAATGCCTCAAAGACCTCCCCCCGGCTCTGTCGGGGGGCAATTAGAGCTAATTAATTAAGCTTATTATTGGTGCTAATATTTGAACGAGCGCCTCATGCGCTCGGGACGTCACAACGTGTTGCATACAAAGGGTTAGAGACGCAGTAACGCTCCTCTACACTGTGTGTCCACACTCCCAGGTCAGGGTTAGAGACAGTAAAGCTCCTCTACACTGTGTGTCCACACTCCCAGGTCAGGGTTAGAGACACAGTAAAGCTCCTCTACACTGTGCGTCCGTCCACACTCCCAGGTCAGGGTTACAGACACAGGGAATTTCTCTCTCCCAGTGTCCTGGCCGACAATCCCACAGATAAACTCGAGCGCTCTCGGTGGATAGAGCACTCCTCTCGCAAGTGAGAGACCCGGGTTCGATTCCTGGCCGAGGGGACGAAACCTTGGGCAAGTTTCCTTACTCCACACACAGACACACACCTGATGATAATCCCTCAAGAAAAGACACAAATTGGTCGCTTCAACCCACGGCTGTTTGTGGGGACGTCGCTGGGCGCAATCGGCTGCCGCGATTCACCCACAAAATACACAGTCACTACACTTCACAATGTGTCCTGTGAAGCGCTTCGAGACGCCTCGATGACGTGAAAAGCGCTGTATCAAATGCCAGGATTATTATTATTTATTTATGAAATCGATCACTCACTTCACGGCTGTTTGCAGAACATCTGGATGTGTGGAGAATGACTCCAAACACTTATACAGTCACTACACGTATAGTAATAATAATAACAATTGTCTCCCACTGTATGTGTGTGTGTGCGTGTCTCTCTCCCCCTCTCTTCCCCCTTTTGTCTTCCTCTTTCCCTCTCCACCCTCCCTCTCTCTCCATCTCGCCCTCTCTCCCTCTCTCCCCTCCCACTCTCTCCCCTCTCCTCCCTCTCTTCCCCTTTTTCTCTTGCTTTCTCTCTCTGCCTCCCCCTCTCTCTTTTCCCCCTCTCTGTCCCATTTCACTCTCCCTCTCGTATTAAATTCGCAAACTAACCTCATTAATTGTTATTTTCCCTGACCGATATGAGTTTTACTGTGTGCATAAATTCACCTGATGTTGACGTAGCTTAGTATTGACAGTAATTATCAATAATGATGTTATTATTCTGGGTTTATTGCAGTTTTGAACCTGCACAATGAGGATTATTTTCAGCAGAAAAGTCTCCTCCGTGTCTCTCGGGTAAATTGCCCCATCTTGGAACAACGCGTAATCCCTTACCGTGGAGTCCTGTTGCTCAGGGGTTAGACCCCTCGCCTCGCAAGCGAGAGGACCCGGGTTTGATTCCCGACTGAGCAGGTCAGGGCGAAACCTTAGGCAAGTACTCCGCACGCACACACACACCCACACACGCCTGTGTTTCCCGGCAGTCAGTAGGAACCCGCTTGTCCGTCGGTTGGGGCATCACTTTCCGGGGGTAATAATCCCATCAAAATCATAACAGCAACAATTTGGTCACTCACCCCCGCGGCTGTTTGTGGGGCCGTCGCTGGGCGCGATCACCTGCTGCGTTTCGCCCGCAAAATACAGTCAATTCACTTAACGGTGTATTCTGTGAAGCGCTTTGAGACGTCTCAAAGATGTGATAAGGGGTGTGTGCAGAGTAAGGGAAGTTGCCTCAGGTTTCACCCACCTGCCTGGTCGGGAATCGAACCCAGGTCCTCTCGCTTGCGAGGCGAGCGCTCTCACCACTACTTATTATTAATAATAATAATAACTCTGTTATGTCTTTAATGCATAAATGTAACGGAGAGGGTGGATGAAGGTGGTGCAGTTGATGTAGTTTATATGGATTTTCCAAAGGCATTTGATAAAGTGCCACTTAAGAGACTTGTCAGCAAATTAGAAGCCCTCGGTATTAAAGGGACAGTGGCAGCGGATACAGAACTGTCTGGGAGACAGAGAGCAGAGAGCGGTGGGGAACGGTTGTTTTTCTGACTGGAGGGAAGTGCGGTGGTGTCCCCCCGGGGTCGGTATTGGGGCCACTGCTGTTTGTGATCCACATAAATGACCTGGGCTTGGGTACAGGGAGGACAACCTCCAAGTTTGCAGATGACACTAGACTAGGAAAAGGGGTAAACGGTGAGGAGGATAGTGGCAGACTGCAGGAGGGCATACACAGACTACGGGCAGACACGCGGCAGATGAAGTTTAATGTGAAGTGATCCATTTTGGGAGGAAGATTAAGGAGAGGCGATGTAAGCCGATGGTACAATCTTAAAGGGGGTGAAGGGACAGGGAGACCTGGGGGTCATGTAAGTAAATCTCTGAAGGTGGCCGGACAGGTTAGACAAAGCTGTTAAAACATCATCCGGGATACGAGGCTTTATAAATAGGGGCATAGGATACGCAAGTCAGGAGGTTATGATGAACCTTTATATAAAACACTGGTGAGGCCTCAGCAGTGAGGTCAGGGATAGTCACCTCTGTGCCCAAATATCTTGCGGCCAATAAACACACACGGTCACGAACACTTTACAGTGTGTTGTTTTGAGACGTCCCAACGACGGGATGAGGCCCCGTGTAAAATGCCGAGGGATTAATACTGGGACAGGATTACTTCTCTGTGCCTCGTGCAACGTACGAGAAAAACAAGTCTAGATGTGGGGCGAGGGAGGGAGGGAGGGAGGGGGGGGTGGGGAGGGAGGGAGGGAGGGAGGGAAGGGGATTAATAACATAATAAAAAACACTGGCGTCTGGGATGGAGTGAACTCCTTACAATGGTTAGCGTTGCCGGGTGGGTCCTGGACAGATTGTGCTGCGATTTACATAAGACCTTCATCTGGGCAAAGCTGCCGGTCCCTGTAACCTTCGTGTTTGACGACTGTCGTTCGCTGACCTTCTGTCATAATTATTTAACGTTTCGAGTGAGGGCTTTAGGTGTCAGGGGGTGAGGGGGTGGGGGGGGGATGCGGGGGCTGGGGCTTGGACTCCAGCCTCTATTCCTGACGTCGTTCCCCCGAATACTGGGCACTCCGGCCCCGACTCAATTAGATCACGGTCCCACTTCGTTACTGGTTGGGTTTTGCCTGCAGATTTAGAGAGTCTGATCTTGCCTCGTTACATCCCCCCCCCCCACCCCCAACCCCCTCTCTCCCACCGAACCGTCCCCCGAACCGTCCCCCAAAGTCTTGGAGATCGGGGCTAAGCAAAGGGGCGAGCCACGACCCGCGGGCTGTTCAGTGGAAGAACGAGAAACGTTTCAGACAAATAACGATTAAGCCTCGTGTTTGACACCGGCGCCCAGTCGCGCCCTCGAGACGTCCCAAACACACAGCGACGGCGTGCTTCGCGGGCGAAACGCGCCCAGCCACGTCCCCACACAACGGCCGCGGGTTGAGCGAACACATTATTATTACCGTTGCTATTATTTCGGAGGGATTATAAAAATTACTCTCGAGCGTTAATGAGCCGACGAGACCACACTTAAAGCCTGGAACACCGATTGCGAGATCACCCGATCACATCATCTTAAAGGGTCAGCGACAGGTTAAAGCTATTACCAGGTTTTTTTTTGCTCAAATAATCCCCCGTATAAATAATGGCAAAAAGTATAAATCGGGTCAGAAGGGGTAGCGATTGTGGGGGTTTGTCTGAGGTTCGTGTGTGTGTGTGAGAGAGAGAGAGAGAGAGAGAGTGTGTGGAGAAAGGGAGTGAGCGAGCAAAGTGGGGTCTGGGTTTGGACCCCGAAGCAAGTCGCCCACCGAGATGGGCAGGGATTTCCTGCAGGTACGTACCTCGAACAAGGGATAATAATAATAATAATAATAACAATCCCTGGGTCAACCCGGCGCCCGATCACGTCGTCGAGACGTCTCAGAGCGCTTCACGGGACACACTGTGGAGTGGAGTGACTGTGTGCTTCGGGGGCCAAACGCGGCGGCCGATGGCGCCCGGCGACGTCCCCACAAACAGCCGGGGGTTGAAGTGACCAAATTATTATTATTATTATTATTGTTTTGAAGGGATTATTACCCCCGGAAAGTGATCCCCAATCGACTGACAAGCGATTCCTACTGACTGCCGGGGACACAGGCGCGTGCGTGCGTGCGTGCGTGTGTGCGTGTGCGTGTCTGTGTACATGTGTGCATGTGTGCGCGTGTGTGTGGAGTAAGGAAACTTGCCTAAAGCACTTTGTGAAGCACTTTGAGACGTCTCGACGACGTGACAATAATACATAATAATAATCCTTGCACTTGGCGCAGCACCTTATCATGTTGTTGAGACGTCTCAAAGCGCTTCATACGGTGACGGGTTTCCGTGTGTGTGTGTCAGACACCCGGCCGGTCACGGTGACGAATCACAGGACGGGTGTTTCATCTACAACTTTAATTTTCAAAGGGATTGTGAAAGTAAACCCAGCTCGTTGCTTTGGGATGTAACAAGACAGCAGGAAAACTTTCGCTCACGGACATCCCCACTTCATTCACTTCACAGTGTATTCTGTGAAGCGCTTTGAGACGTCTCGAAGTGGTGATAAGGCGCCGGGTCAAATAAGAAGAAGAAGATGTGGGTCTCAAGCCACGAAGGGGTGATTTCAGGACAGGCGCCAGGAAGCGGACCCTGCGGTGTCCTGCGGTGCAGTGGTTAGAGCACTCGCCTCGCAAGCGAGAGGACCTGGGTTCGATTCCCGGCCGGGCGGGTCAGGCGAAACATTCAGAGGGAGAGAGAGACAGAGAGAGGGAGAGGGAGAGGGGGAGGAATTGAATTAAAGTTTAATTTGTTTGTTGGAAGGTATCTTGGCTGTTTGGGATCGAAGGAGGAACCGATCATTTCGGCTCATTCAGTGAGAATCTCGACCAGTTCTGACCCACGTCAACCGCCTGAGAGACTGAGGTAAGGAATTCTTATCAAACGCTCTGAGGTACGAGTGCGCGTATGTGTGTAGGCGTGTGCGCGAGTGCGTGTGAGTGAGTGAGCGTGCGTGTGTTTGCTTGTGTGTGTGTGTGAGTGGTGTGTGTGTGTGTGTATGTAAGTCTGTGTATGTGAGTGTGTATGTGAGTCTGTGTGAGTGTTTGTGAGTCGGTGTGTGTGTGTGTGAGGGGGTGTGTGTGTGGAGGGGGTGTGTGTGAGGGGGTGTGTGTGTATGTGAGGGCGTGTGTGCGTGTGAGGGTGTGTGTGCGTGTGAGCGCGAGAGAGCGCGAGACGTGAGCGCAGTGCGAGATGTTAAACCTCACTCGCTCCCCGTCTGTGCCTTGATCAGTGCGGACATTAAAGATCAGGGGGGAAAAGAGAGAGGGAGTTCCCCTCTCTCTCTCTCTCTCTCTCTCTCTCTCCCGGTGTCCTGGCCGACAGATAAAGCCGCTGACCCGCTTCACGGCCGTTTGAGGGGCCGTCGCCGGGCGAAAATTGGCCGTTGCGTTGTCTTACAAAATGCGCAGTCACTACGCTTCACAATGAAAGCCTTCGCCGACGGTCTCTCCCCCGTATAACTCTCTCTCTCTCTCTCTCTCTCTCTCTCTCTCTCTCTCTCTCGCTCAGATCTCGTCTCCGCTGCTGAAAAGAGGAGCGGAAGAGCGGAAAAACCCACGATGGACGGGAAAAGGACCTCGGAATTCCTCTCGTTCGTAGCCCTCGGACCGTTCAAGCTCGGAATGGAAGCTTAGACTTGTAGCTAAATTTAATTCCCCGCCCCCCCCCCCCCATTCACTCCCCGCCCCATATTCACTCCCTGCCCCCCCCCCCAATCACTCCCCCCCATATTCACTCCCCCCCCCCACCCAATCACTCCCCCCCCCCATATTCACTCCCCGCCCCAACACACACACATGAATATGGATCTAAAAGTGTTTTCATTTTTATCCCCATAGATCCCAGACCCCATAGATCCCACACCCTATAGATCCCACACCTCATAGATCCCACACCTCATAGATCCCGCACCCTATAGATCCCACACCCTATATATCCCACACCCCATAGATCACACACCCTATTGATCCCACACCCCATAGATCCCACACCCATAGACCCCACACCCCATAGATCACACACCCCATAGATCACACACCCTATAGATCACACCCATGGAACACCGTATGGATTACACATACAATACACTGTTAGATTATATGCATCACATGTCCTATACATCAGATGTATCCTATGGATTAGCCGGATCCTGTAGATAAGACACCGGGTGTGTATCAACTGGAAACACCAGGTTGATCGTATAGATTCGAGACATTGGGCATATCCTATAGATGCAACATCATGTTGATCATATAGACATACAGTCTGATCATATAGATTAGATCCCATGGAATCGGATCAATTCTATACATTGATTCTACAGTTTAGACCCCAGACATACATTGAACAGAGACACCCGACCGATCATATAGATTCCAGACACCCACCCGATACCCTATAGATTAGACATTGGGTGCGTGGTATAGACTAGAGAGGGTCAGGCGGCTCTTCAGGCCTTAGGTTGATGAACTGTGTGGATTGTAGGCGTCAGACAATGTAGATCAGAGCCCACGGAGTTGGCGACAGGAGGTCACGCGGCACAACGGGCGGCCATTTTGAAAACTCGGTCACGCAACGAATTTTGACTCGGGCCAAAGGTCAGGTAGGATATATGGAGCCAATCAAATGACACTCGTCCCGTCACGCGACACCAGGGCGGCAATTTTGAAACCGAGATCCGTCCCATTTCCAAGTTATTTTGGGGGGAAATTTATGGACGACCTCTCTCTCCCTCTCTCTCCCTCTCTCCCTCTCCTTCCCTCACTCACTCACATTCCGATCAGGTGTCATCCCTTTCTCCCTGCCCTTCGCCCCCGCCCTCTCCCCCTAACCCCCCCCCACACTCCCACCCCCTCCTCCCACGCAGCAATCTCTCTCTTTCCAAATTCATTTCCAAAAAAAAGTATATTTCACAATTGGTTACCCAAAAAAAAAAAAAAGGTTTGTGTGAGATAAATCCGGGGGTCACTTCAAATTAATTATTCTTTCGATGATTTTTAATTCGACGGGATTGCGCGCGGGGGAGGGGGGGGGTGGGAGAATGGGTGCGGGAAGGTGGGGGAGGGGGCGAAAGGGGGAGCGGGAGAAAGGAAGTGTGGGGAAATAAGGGAGAGGGAGGGAGGGAAAGGGGAGGGAGTTTGGAACCAGAGACGTCAATAAAATGCAAATATAAAATGCTGTTGTTCCCCCCCCCACACCCCCCCCACACCCCCCGCACAAACACACGCACACACACGCGCACACACACCCAGAGGTTAAAACAACTCAGACATTCAAGCGAATATAACCCGACTGTTTCGAAAAGAAAACTCTCTCCCTTGGAGGAGCAAACAAAAATGGCCGATCCGGCGAGGACCGGTGGTAAAGAGAGCACGCATGGCGTCCCACGAAAACCCTGGCCGGGAAGCCGACTTATTATGCTTCTCGTACATTGTTGTCGTCGTCGTTTAGGGTCCCATGTCGTTTGGGACGTTCTCCGGACGTGAAATGTAGTTGTTGTTGTTGTACAAAGCGACTGAAAGGCGGGTCCTGAAACCGCCGTCTTGATTTTTATTTCCGGTGGGGTGGGGGCGGAGGGTGGGGGCGGAGGGTGGGGGCGGAGGGTGGGGGCGGGGGGGGGCAGGGATGGGGCACGTCACCCTTATCCTTCTCTACTCTCGTCTCATTTTCCTCGTTGTGAATATTGTTTCCTCCGGAACCCCAATTCAGCTCAACCCCTGGAGTTGGGGGTTCAGGCAATTGGCTTTTTTGGTGGGTGAATCCATCACTTTTTTTTTAGCCCCCACTACCCCCCCCTCCCCCACCCAACCCCCACCCCCACCCCCTGGCGCTGTGGGGAGAATGACCCCAATCGTGAAATGGATGGTCTGATATCCAGAGCTTCAGACGTGGAAAGTTTTAACAGAAGGCAGATGTGCTGTTATTGTCTGTGTTGATCGTGCCAGTCTTATCCAGCCAGACTGGTCCCGGTGTTAGAGACAGAGGGGACAGTGAGACTGATCCCAGTGTTAGAGACAGAGGGGACAGTGAGACTGATCCCAGTGTTAGAGACAGAGGGGACAGTGAGACTGGTCCCAGTGTTAGAGACAGAGGGGACAGTGAGACTGGTCCCAGTGTTAGAGACAGAGGGGACAGTGAGACTGATCCCAGTGTTAGAGACAGAGGGGACAGTGAGACTGATCCCAGTGTTAGAGACAGAGGGGACAGTGAGACTGGTCCCAGTGTTAGAGACAGAGGGGACAGTGAGACTGGTCCCAGTGTTAGAGACAGAGGGGACAGTGAGACTGGTCCCGGTGTTAGAGACAGAGGGGACAGTGAGACTGGTCCCAGTGTTAGAAACAGAGGGGACAGTGAGACTGGTCCCAGTGTTAGAGACAGAGGGGACAGTGAGACTGGTCCCAGTGTTAGAAACAGAGGGGACAGTGAGACTGATCCCAGTGTTAGAGACAGAGGAGACAGTGAAACTGATCCCAGTGTTAGAGACAGAGGGGACAGTGAGACTGATCCCAGTGTTAGAGACAGAGGGGACAGTGAGACTGGTCCCGGTGTTAGAGACAGAGGGGACAGTGAGACTGATCCCAGTGTTAGACAGAGGGGACAGTGAGACTGGTCCCGGTGTTAGAGACAGAGGGGACAGTGAGACTGGTCCCGGTGTAAGAGACAGAGGGGACAGTGAGACTGGTCCCAGTGTTAGAGACAGAGGGGACAGTGAGACTGATCCCAGTGTTAGAGACAGAGGAGACAGTGAAACTGATCCCAGTGTTAGAGACAGAGGGGACAGTGAGACTGATCCCAGTGTTAGAGACAGAGGAGACAGTGAGGCTGATCCCAGTGTTAGAGACAGAGGGGACAGTGATATTATTATGTCTGTAGTTTGTGTTATTTTGACATAAAATAAAAGTTTGTGCAACGTATGTGTTGAAATCTTTGCCTCTTTAAACCTGTTTTTATTCCGGTTTCCATCTGCCTCCCCCCCCCCCCCCCCCACAGTGACCAGAACGTGGTCGCACTCCCCTTTCCGCCCCCCCCCACCCCCCCCACCCCCAACACCTGTCACACACACTCACACACAACACACGTTTCCGCACACGCACCACAACCACAGCTCGGGGTCATACAGTGCCCCTCCGCCACCGTTTGTGGGGGACGTCGCCGGGCGCGTTTGGCTGCCGTGTTCGGCCCACACAAAGCACGCAGTCACTACACTTCACGGCGTGTCCCGGGAAGCGCTTGTGAGACTTGTCTCGACGACGTGACCGGGCCCCGGGTCACACGCCGGGGGTTATTATTATTATTATTATTGTTGTTGTTGTTGTTGTTGTATCGAGAGGTTTAGGAGCCGGTCGGCGTAATGTCATTGCCTGTGTCAATCGTGCGAGCAAACTTCTCGCTCTCCTCCCCAGTTAAAATTGCTCAAGGGTCCTTGCCTGCCAAAAACAGTCACTACACGTGAACGCAAGTCTGTGTTCTGAGGGAGAGGGTGGGAGAGAGAGAGCGAGAGAGAGCGAGAGAGGGGAGAGAGGGAGAGAGAGTGAGAGCCCTCTAATTTAAGTGGATTAAATGCCTGACTCACTCCCGGCTGATCTGTCTCCCCTGAAGTGGACCCGGAATCTCTCGTCACACCGGGGGGGGAGAGTTTTGACAAACTTCCGGAGCTCCGAGCGTCGGGCGCTGCGCGTCAGCCCCCGGGCTCACGTGTTCGAGACGTCCCGAAGTGCTTCGCGGGCGGCAGTGCCGAGCGTTGCGGCGGTGCGTTGTTGTGGGGCGCAACGCGGCAGCCGACCGCGCCCGGCGCCGTCCCCACAAACAGCCGTGGGGTTGAAGCAATGTTATTTATTTTGAAGGGATTATTACCCCCGGAGAGCGATCCCCACAGGCGCGCGTGTGTGTGTGTGTCTGTACGTGTGTGTGTGTGTGTCTGTACGTGTGTGTGTGTGTCTGTACGTGTGTGTCTGTACGTGTGTGTGTGTGTGTCTGTACGTGTGTGTGTGTGTGTGTGTCTGTACGTGTGTGTGTGTGTGTGTGTGTCTGTACGTGTGACCGGCCGGGTGTCTGACACACACACACACGGAAACCCGTCACTGTGGCTTAAGAGTCTCCGAACCCCGACTGAGAACTCCCCACATCCCCCCCACACCCGGAAACCCCAGAGATAGACTGTCGGAATGGGACGCTCTCTCTCTCTCCCCCCCACCCCCCAACCCCCCCTCCCCACCCGACAGCGCTGTGGGGGGAGATCTTTAACGTCCGCCCTGAACAGGGCACAGACGGGGAGTGAGTGAGGTTTAACGTCTCTGACAATACGTCCCTCTCTCTCCCCAGCGCTGCCCTGAAGCATCAGCTTAGACTATGTTCTGACGTGTGTGCGCGTGTGTGCGTGTGGTTGGGGGGCGGTTGAACCCACACCCCTCTGCCTCGGAGGCGAGGGAGAGGGAGAGGGAGAGGGAGAGAGAGAGAGGCTGAGCTGGTCTGACAGGTGATGCTGATCGTTTAACACTGACACAGTAATTGATTTGATCGACAGACGGTCTCCGCACGTGGATTATCCAAAGCCCTGATCGGACGGGAAGCCAAATAGCCGGACATTTGCTGGATTAGCTGACCTTCTATCAGGTGTGTGTGCGCGTGCGCGTGTGCGTGCGTGTGCGCGGACGTGTGTATGCGCGTGGGCGTGTGTGTCAGACGGGCTCAGTCGCTCTCTCCCCATCTCTCCCTCTCGCCTCTTGAGTGAGAAGGTTGTGGGTTCGAGAGAGAGAGAGAGAGAGAGAAAGACAAAGAGGAGAGTTTGGCCACCCCGTGTACAGTCACTACACTCGATCGTGAATCGGGTGAAAGCGCTTTGAGGCGTCCTCCCGACGTGAGAGGCCCTGGGTCAAACGTCAGGGAGATCTTTTAACGGGGCTCAGACAGGGGGGGAGAGAGGGAGAGAGAGTGAGTGAGTGAGGTTTAAGGTTTCTCTCTCTCTCTCTCTCCCCTCACACTCTCTCTCTCTCTCTCTCTCTCCCCCCAGTGCAGCGCTGAAGCCTCAGTTTAGACCGTACGAGCCCCCAATTTGTGTGTGTGTGTGTGTGTGTGTGTGCGGCTCAAACCCCCAACCTCGTAACTCGGAGACGGGAGCGAGAAAGAGAGAGAGAGAGAGAGAGGGAGGAGGGCGGGTGGGGGGGACGTGAGGGACCGAGCCACGGGCTGACACCCCGTTAAGCCCGATTCCGAGTGGGACGTGCGCGCGAACTCCCTCCCGGGAACGGGAATCAGCCGGGCGGAGAGGTCGGGAGGCGCCGGGGATCCCGACCAGTTCAGCTGCGGAGCCGACGCTATGTTTGGAACGATCATCGGACCCGGAAACTAATAGGGTCAAAGGGGCGCAATTAACCCGGGATAACGTTGATGTGAAATACGTCATTTAGTCAAGTTATCCCTCCCTCCCCTCCCTCCCCACCCTCCCTCCCTCCCTCCCTCCCTCCCGCTTTCCCTCCCTCCCCTCCCCTCCCTCCCCGCTATAAAAGCTGAGGAACACATTGCCTTTGGCCAGTCGGGTTGGGACAGGTTGGGTCGGGTCGGGTTTTCTCTGCTTGCACGCCCCGCTTTCTGCTTCCCTTCCTTTTCCCTCTCACCTTCCCTCCCTCTCTCCCTCCCTCCCTCTCTCCCTCCGCAGGAAAGGAAAGAGAGAGAGAGAGAAAGAGAGAGAGACATGACTCAATCTTGGGAGCTCGTGGCTCCCGCGGCCAGGAGAGGCTTTAAATATGATGAACCGACACATAGCGGAATATTTGTGTACACCAACTCCAACCAGACGCGAGGTAAGACTGTCTGTCTGTCCATCCGCCTGTCCGTCTGTCTGTGAGGCGAGTCCCTGTGGCTCAGTGGTCAGAGCTCGCACTCCCCTCGCGAGCCGGAGGACGGGTGTTGGGAGTTTAGGGACAGATCCGCCGTGATCTAATAGCATGGTGCAACAGGCTCAAGGGGCTGAATGGCCTCCTCCTCCTCCTGTTCCTGTATCATTCGCCAGTCCTTAACATAATAATAATAATAGCAATAATAATAATCCTCCCGTGTGACCCGGCGCCCGATCGCGTCGTCGAGACGTCTCAAAGCGCTTGACAGGATACACAGTAAAGTGTAGTGACTGTGTGCTTTGGGGCCGAACGCGGCAGCCGATCGCGCCCGGCAACGTCCCCACAAACAGCCGGGGGTTGAAGCCACCGAGTTATGATTATTTTTATTACCCCCGGAAAGCGATCCCCCAATCGACTGACAACCGGGTTCCTACCGACTGCCGGTAAACACAGGCGTGTGCGCGTGTGTGTGCGTGTGCGTGTGTGCGTGTGTGTGGAGTAAGGAAACTTAGCCAACGTTTCGCCCCGTCCGGGAATAGACCCCGGGTCCTCCGGCTTGCGAGGCGAGCGCGAGCTCTAACCACTGAGCCGCAGGCACTCGCAGTCCACTGCCAAGTGGAGGTGACTGCGTGTTTCGTGGGTGAAACGTGTCTTTAACACGTCATTGACCGGCGATTAACACGTCGCTAACATGCCGCGGACCTGCGTCTCTCTCTCTCTCTCTCGCTCAGGTCCCTTCGAAGGCCCGAACTACCACATCGCCCCTCGCTGGGCGTACAACCTGACCAGCGTGTGGATGGTGGGCGTGGTGGTGGCTTCTGTCTTCACTAACGGACTGGTCTTAGTGGCCACCGTGAGGTTCAAGAAGCTCCGCCACCCCCTGAACTGGATCCTGGTCAACATGGCCCTGGCCGACCTGGGGGAGACCGTCCTCGCCAGCACCGTCAGCGTCGCAAACCAGTTCTTTGGCTACTTCATCCTGGGCCACCCTCTGTGCGTCTTCGAGGGCTTCGTCGTGTCGCTCTGCGGTGAGCTCCGTGAGGCTGTCACTCGCCCCCTCCCCCACCCCCCTCCCCTCGCCCACACACTCACTCACCCCCACACTCACCCCCACACTCACCCCCACACACTCACTCACCCCCACACTCACTCACCCCCACACTCACCCACACACTCACCCCCTCACTCACCCCCACACACTCACCTCCTCACACTCACTCACCCCCACACACTCACCTCCTCACACTCACTCACCCCCACACACTCACCTCCTCACACTCACTCACCCCCCGTATTGATTGTTACTGTATTGATTGTGGTATTGATTGTGGTATTGATCGTTACTGTATTGATTGTCGCTGTAGGGATCACCGCCCTCTGGTCGCTGACGATCATCGCCTGGGAGCGTTGGGTTGTGGTGTGTAAACCCTTCGGGAACATGAAGTTTGACAGTAAAATGGCTGTGGCCGGGATTGTCTTCTCCTGGGTCTGGTCCGCGGGCTGGTGTTTGCCTCCCATCTTCGGCTGGAGCAGGTCAGGGCACCTCCGTCTGTCTGTCTGTCTGTCTGTCTGTCTGTCTGTCTGTCTGTCTGTCTGTCTGTCTGTCTGTCTGTCTGTCTGTCTGTCTGTCTGTCTGTCTGTCTGTCTGTCTGTCTGTCTGTCTGTCTGTCTGTCTGTCTGTCTGTCTGTCTGTCTGTCTGTCTGTGTCTGTCTGTGTCTCTCTACACTACAGGACTCCAAACATCCTTATTTAATCCGTTGATTGATCCCATCATCAGATCATTAGCCCTAATTCACACAGCGTTAATCTCGTTTGGGAAGATTTGAGAATTAAATTGAGTGAAGAATAATTGAGGGGAGAGCGAGGGAGAGAGAGGAGGGAGGGAGGGAGGGAGAGAGAGGAGGGAGGGAGGGAGGGAGAGAGAGAGGAGGAAGGGAGGGAGAGAGGAGGGAGGGAGAGAGAGGAGGGAGGGAGGAAGAGAGGAGGAAGGGAGGAAGAAAGAGGAGGGAGGGAGGGAGAGAGGAGGGAGAGAGGGAAAAGGAGGGTAGGAAAGAGGGAGGGAGCCAAGAGAGAGGGGAGAGCGAGCGAGGGAGGGAGGGAAGAGATAGAGAGGGAATGAACAGTAATTAGCTGAAGCTGAGCTCCACACCCCTCTCTCTCTATCTCTCTCTGTCTCGTTCGGTCTCTCCTGTGGCAGGTATTGGCCTCATGGGCTGAAGACCTCGTGTGGTCCTGACGTGTTCAGTGGTAATGAAGACCCCGGTGTCCAGTCGTATATGGTGGCTCTGACTCTGAGCTGTGCTGTTCTGCCCCTCCTCATCATCATCCTCTGCTACTTCCAAGTCTGGTGGGCAATTAGAGCGGTGAGAATCTCCAGCTACATCTCCCCCCCCATAACCCACCTCCGCAACCCTCCCCCAACCACCCCTCACCAATCGAACCCGGGTCCTCTGGCCTGCGAGGCGAGGGGTCTAACCCCTGAGCTACAGGGGCTGTGGGGTGCGAGGTGAGGGGTCTAACCCCTGAGCTATAAGACTCTCCATTTTGCTCACACTCCCCCTCCCTCTCTCCCTCTCTCTCTCTCTCCCCCTGTGTCCTGTGCAGGTTGCTTTACAGCAGAAGGAGTCAGAATCCACACAGAAGGCTGAGAAGGAGGTGTCCAGGATGGTGGTAGTGATGGTGGCTGCTTTCTGTCTGTGTTGGGGACCTTACGCCTGTTTCGCTATGTTTTCGGCTCTGAACCCAGGCTACGCCTTCCACCCCCTCGTGGCCTCCATCCCCAGCTACTTCGCTAAGAGTTCCACCATTTACAACCCCATCATCTATGTTTTCATGAACCGACAGGTGAGAATTCATCAGGTGTGTGATCCATACACACACACACCCACATACACACCCACACACACACTCACACACACACACACACACACACACCCACACACACACACACACACACACACATACACACCCACACACTCTCACACACACACACACATACACATGGAAACACGTCACCTTGAAAAAACTGTCATTGAATCCAGGAATATTATTCATTATCGTGATGGTTTGACGGTGGATTATTTTCCTGTCTCCGTCCCCAGTTCCGTAACTGTATCCTCCAGTTGTTTGGAAAGAAAGTGGACGATGGCTCAGAGTTGTCCTCCACATCAAAGACGGATGTCTCGTCCGTCTCCAATTCCTCCGTCTCCCCGGCCTGACACCAGAGGAACTTCCAACCGAGATTCTGAAGGCAACGTAGACCATCTTATCTTTACCCGGAGATAAGACATCACTTTGTCTTCGCGCAAGAAGACAGACACCTCATGTTCACCTGGAGCTAGAGCTAGAGATCATCCTGGGGTCCTGTAGTGCAGTGGTTAGAGCTCTCGCTCACCTCGCAAGCCAGAGGACCTGGGTTCGATTCCCGGGCGGGCGGGTGGGGTGAGACCTTAGGTAAGTTTCCTTCCTCCACACACACACGCACACACGCACACCTACGCGCCTCTGTTTACCAGCAGTCAGTAGGAACCCGCTTGTTAGACCACTGCCGGATCGCTTTTCCAAGAGTAATGATCCCTCCAAAAAAATACATAGAAATAAAAAAAATTGTGGTCACCCACACAATTGGCTGCCGCGATCCACAAGAGAGGCGGACACACACGAGAGCAAAATGTTATCTGTGGAGTATGTTTGTACATATGTTTAGTAAATATATATATACACACATATATATATACACATAGGGATGGCATCAAAAAAAAGTTTAAAAAAAACAGAGTCAAATGATTTATAATTTTTTTTGACCAAAATAAATTATGTGGCAAATTGCAAAGTTGTCTTTTCTGTTCTCCAACAACTTTACTGTGTCTCTAACCCTGACCTGGGAGTGTGGACACACAGTGTAGAGCTTTACTGTGTCTCTAACCCTGACCTGGGAGTGTGGACACACAGTGTAGAGGAGCGTTACTGTGTCTCTATCTGTATTGATCGCGTTGTTGAGACGGTGTCAAAGCCCTTCACAGGAAACATGGAGCGTCACTGCCCTCCTGTGGCCACACTGTGGTAATGCGATCAGGTCAAACGTGATCCCGCACAACAGCAGGAAACAGTGGTGGGAATGGGTACTTTGTCCATATAGACCATAATAATAATTATCCTCGTGTTTGACACCGCCATCGCCCTGTTATCATGTCGTCGAGACGTCTCAAAATGCTTTGCAGGACATGAAAAGAGAGAGAAAGCTTTGCCTGTTCAGGTGCACGTGAATGGCGCTATTTGACAAGAGAGGGGATCTTCTCTCTCTCTCTCTCTCTCCTTGACAGTGTATCCCGTGAAGCGCTTTGAGACGCCTCGACGACGTGATCGGGCGCCGGGTCAAACGCCAGGATTATCATTATTATTATTATTATTAAACGACTGCCGTGTTTCGCCCACAAAACAGTCACCGCACTTTCCAGTGTATGTCGTGCGGCGCTTTAAGACGCGATAAGGCGCTGTGTCACACACACGGATTATTATTATTATTATTATTATTATTATGACCGTGTGTTCAGATTGACGCAGTGCCAATCTCCACCACAGGAGGGCGACGTTGACTGCGAATGTACAGTTTCGCGTCTTCACCTTCACCGCTCGCATTACCACAGGAGGCCACAGGGGGGCGGTGGCGCTCCATGTAACAGTGACTTGGCTTCAGGCCGATGACCTGCTCCACAGTCATTGACCACGAGGTCCCCCCTTGTGGGTCAACGAGTCCAAAGAATTGGGCATCGCCCGAACGCCAAGTCGCGTTGATTTGGCGTCTCTCACGCAGAGTGGACTGAGTCATAACAACAACAACAACAGCAACTTTGCATTTGTAGAGCGCCTTTCACGTCGGGAGGACGTCCCGAGGCGCTGGACGGTTGGGTCGGGACCCGAGCATTGGGGGGGGGGGAATGGTCAGGGTGAGGGGAGGGAGCGAGGAGGGGGGGAGATGGTCAGGGTGAGGGGAGGGAGGGAGTGAGGAGGGGGGAAGATGGTCAGGGTGAGGGGAGGGAGGGAGTGAGGAGGGGGGGAATGGTCAGGGTGAGGGGAGGGAGATAATAAAACATTGTTTGTGTGACTGTCTGCGGGACCGACGCCGCTGCGCGCAACCGGCCGCCGCGTTTCGCCCACAAACACGCGGTCATTTCCCTTTGCGGCCCTATTCTGTGGAGCGCTTCGAGACGTCGCGAAGACGCGATCAGACGCTGCGTCCAATGCAAAGGGAGTGTCGTCGTCGCTGTTTAACGCGTAAGACGTAATGATATGAACGTGCGCCGCGCGCCGGCCGGAGCTTCCCCTGGACCTGCGGGCGCAGCGTTTTATTGAGGGTGACGGAGAGCGCGTGGGAAGGGCGGCGCTCTGCGGAGGAGGGCGGTCGGAGACCGCCGGTGGGAATCAAACGTCACCGTCTTCTCCTGAGTTACAAAAACATGACTTTACGGTCGTCAGAGAGCGATGATGACTGTGATGGCGGAGGGGGGGTGTCCCCCCGGGCAGAGGGGGGGGGGGGGGGTGGGGGGGTATTATCATAACAATAATAATAATCCTTTGCATTTGATATAGCGCTTTTCACGTCTTCTCGACGTCCCAAAGCGCTTCACAGGACACACTGTAAAGTGTAGTGACTGTATATTTGTGGGCGAACGCGGCGGCCGATTGCGCACAGCAATGCCCCACAGACAGTGGTGGGGTTGAAAATGACCAATTTATTATTATTATTATTATTATTATTATTAGGGCTCTGTGTGTGTGTGTGTGTGTGTGGAGTGAGGAAACCCGCCCCCGGTTCGGCTCTGAGCTGTCGGGGATCGAACCCGCGGGTCTCTCGCTCTCACCGCTGCGCCACAGGTCGCCACGAGGGGGCGACGGACGGAGCGGAAAGTGCGGCCGTGAAGCGGTCGGTCAGTCAGTCAGTGAGGCGGCGGGAACCTGCGGCCCGGAATCACAGACTGAGGCGTTTCGCGCGATACAAAAATATGTCGGTGTCCCGGTTGAAGGGCGGCGGTTGGGCCGACGTCGGGTTGGGCGGCGGTTCGCCCCGAGCGGCGGCCGTTTATTTTCCAGGCGATGGATGAGGGCGGAGGGGGGGGGGGGGGCGAGAGCGGACGGAAAGTGCTGCGTGGAATCAAGCGCCCGCTGGGCGGCGGCGGCTGGAAAGCGCTGATCGGAATCGGAGGTTCGGGGCGTTCGGCCGACGGTAAAAATATAATTCCGCGGCCGTTAAGCGGCGGAGTTCGGTACGAATCCGGAAAGCCGAGGAGTTCGCCCCCCGGGAGGGCGGGGCGGAGGGGTATTTTATTCGGGAGGGCGACGGAGAGCGAGTGGAAAGTGCGGCTGGGAGCCGAGCCGTAGCCGTGCTGTGGGCGGGGGGACGGCCCGCGCGTGCGCGGTGGTGGTGAGGAGAGAGAAGGGGGGAAGCGGTGGTGACGCGCTCGGCTCGAAAGTGCGGACGGGAATCGGAAGCGCGGGGCGTCCCCCGGCGCTAAACAGCACCGCCGCGCCGCCGTCGGACGGGGATGGCGCTGCCGGTCCCGGGGAGGCGGGGAGTTCGGCCCGGGGGGGCGCGGGGGCGCAGGGCTTATTTTGTTTCCGGGGCGGCCGGAAAGTGCCGCCGGGAGCCGAGCGGCGGCCGCGCGGTGGGCAGAGCGGGAGGGAAGATGGCGGCCGCGCCCGTGTACTGTCTCTGTCGCCTTCCCTACGACGTGACGCGCTTCATGATCGAGTGCGATGGCTGTCAGGACTGGTTTCACGGCAGGTCCGCCCCCGGGGGGGGAGGGGGGGAGGGGTGGGGGGGTCTGTGGGGGGGGGAGAGGGAGAGTGTGAGGGAGAGAGAGGGAGAGGGGGAGTCGGGCAACTCAACACCGGCTCCATCTTCTCTCTCTCTCTCTCTGTCGCACTCTCTCTCTCTTATCACTCTCTCTCCGTCTCTCTCACTCTCTCCTCTCTCCTCTCTCTCTTCATCTCCTCTCTGTCTCACTCTCTCCATCTCCTTCTCACTCTCTCTCTCTGACACTTTCTCTCTATCACTCTCTCTCTCTGTGTCACTCTCTTCATCTCCTTATCACTCTCTCTCTCTCTGACACTTTCTCTCTATCACTCTCTCTCTCTCTCACTCCCTCTCTCTCTCTCTGTCTCACTCTCTTCATCTCCATCTCCTTCTCTCTCTGTCTCACTCTCTCCATCTCCTTTTCACTCTCTCTCTCTGACACTTTCTCTCTGTCACTCTCTCTCTGTCTCTCTGTCTCTCTCTCTCTCACACACTCCCTCTCTCTCTCTCTCTCTCTCTCTCTGTCTCACTCATCTTCATTTCTCTGTCACTGTCTCTCACTCTCACACTCTTACTCTCTTTTCTCTGTCTCTGTCTCTCTCTCTCACACGCTCTCTGCCTCTCCTCCGCACTCCCTCATTGCCTCCTCATTCCCTCCACGTTTCCCCAACTCCAGGTCTCTCTCCTTTCTCCTCCGTCACTATCTCTCACTCTCTCCCATCGCACTGTCTGTCTGTGTGTCTCTTGTCTCTCCTTGTCGTCTCGACATCACCACTGTCCCTCCTCGTCATCTCTCCGCGCTCTCTCCATCTCCTTATTTCTGTCTCTCTCACTCTCCGCCGTCTCCCCATGTGTCCCTCCTCCTCCTCCTCCTCCTCCTCACTGTCTGACTGTCTGTCTGTCTCTCCCCACCTCATCGTCTCTGTCTCCCCATGTCGTTTGTCTCAGGAACAAATGAGATGGATTTCCGTGAGGAAATAATACCTGGGGATACGGTGTATAGTTTGGGACACGTTAAAGTGACTGCGAGGATGGCGGAAGGCGAACTAGATGGACCTTAGTCCTCTTTTGCCGGCAACTTCTTGTGTCTCAGTCTCTCCTCCTCTCTGTCTGTCTCACAGCCTCTCCCCCCCATCAACTCCCCTCTCTCTCCTCCTCACTGTCTGCCTGTCTGTCTCCCAGTCTTTTCCGCAATTTCTCCATGTCTCTCCTCTCGCTCACTGTCTCCCCATCTGCTCCTCACTGCCTGTCACTGTTTCTCCATCTCCTTCCTCCTCATCACTGTCTCTGTCCATGTCTCTCGCTCTCTGTCTCCTCATTATCTCCTTATCTCTCTGTCTCTGTCGTCTCAGTCTCTCCATCTCACTGGCGGTCACTCGGTCCCTCCCTTCAGCTCCTGTCTCTCAGTCTCTGTCGTTGGGTCCTCCTCTCTGGTGTGTTGGTAATCCTGTGTTGTGTTTGCAGTTGTGTGGGGGTGGAAGAGGAGAAAGCTGCTGATATCGATCTCTATCACTGCCCGAACTGTGAGAAAACACAGGGTCCCTCTGTCAGTAAGTACATAAAATAATCCTTTTTGTGTGGGAAGGGGGCATTCACGTCAGGAGGACATCTCAAACCCTGACAGTTTGGAAGCGTAAACCGAGTCCCGTAGCTCAGTGGTTGGAGCACGAGGCTCGCAAGTGAGAGGACTTGGGTTCAATTCCCGAGTGGGTCAGGACAGGGCGAAACCTTAGGGAAGTTTCCTGACTACACACACACACACACACACACGCGGCTGTGCTTCCCAGCAGTCTGTAGGAACCCGCTTGTTAGTCGATTGGTGGATCGCTTTCCGGGGTTAATAATCCCTTCAAACAATTTTTTTTTTATTATCATTGCGCAATTGGCGGCCGCGTTTCACCCATTAAAAATACAGTCGCGACACTTTACCGTATATCCCGTGAAGCGCTTTGAGACGTCTCGGCGACGCGATCGGGCGCCGGGTCGAACGGGAGGATTAGCGTTCTTGTTATAGCTGCTGTTGTGAGCCCCCGTTACTGGTGCCATTGCCCTTTCAGTGAGGAGGAGGAAAAACTGTGCCAAACTGGAGCCGGTGGAGAACAATGAGCGAGCGAGGCCGGTACAGACCGGGAGCCAGACCTTCATCAGGGAACTGAGGAGCCGGACCTTCCCCAGGTCAGTGTCGCAGCCCTGAGCCGGGCAGTGTCACCTGTCCACAGCCACACGTGCTCCTTCACTCGCTCCTCTGTTCCTTCCTTCGCTCCCTCCTTCGCTCCTTTTCCTTCTCTCACTCGCTCCTTCGCTCCTAATAAGTCTCCTTTTCTACTCCTGGCCAGTGTCACCGGTCTACAGCAGAGGGGCTCCCACTCTCTCCTCACTCACTCACTCACTCACTCACTCACTCACTCACTCACTCACTCACTCACTCACTCACTCACTCACTCACTCACTCACTCACTCACTCACTCACTCACTCACTCACTCACTCACTCACTCACTCACTCACTCACTCACTCACTCACTCACTCACTCACTCACTCACTCACTCACTCACTCACTCACTCACTCACTCTTTCGCTCGTTTGTGTCAGTGTGTGTGGTGTGTAGGTGTCTGTGTGTGTATCTTTGCATGTGTCTACATGAGTATCTGTGTTTGTGTGTCTGTCTATATATATATATATCTATGTATGTGTTATGTGTGTCTCACTGCTCTCTCTCCCCCCATTGCTGATGTGTGTGTGTGTCTGTGTGGGGGAGTGTATGTGTGTGTCTCACTGCTCTCTCTCCCCCCCCAGTGCTGATGAGGTGATCCTGAAGCCGGCTGGCAGCCAGTTGACGGTGGAGTACCTGGAGGAGAACAGTTTCAGCGTTCCCATCCTGGTGACCAGGAAAGAGGGGCTGGGGATGACAATCCCCCCTCAATCCTTCACCGTCGGTGACGTGGAGCATTTTGTAGGTCAGTCTGTCTCCCTGTGTCAGCCGTCGCAATGTCCTGTAGTGTAGTGGTTAGAGCCCTCGCATCGCAAGCCAGAGGACCTGGGTTTGATTCCCAGCCGGACGGGGCGAAACCTCAGGCAAGTTTCTGTCCAACTGTGTCTGGCTGTCTGTCTATCTGTGTGTGTGTGTGTCTTGCTCTCTCTGTGTCTATTTGTCTGTATCTGTGTGTCTGTTTGCCCGTCTGTCTGTACTTGTGTGTATCTGTCTCTCCGTATGTATAGCTGTGTGTGTGTGTGTGTGTGTGTCATCAATCCCATTACTATATTGCGTGTGTGTTGGTGACAGGGGACAGTATGGTTTGGTAGAGTAATGTATTATGTGGTGTGTGTGCTGTAGGGGGTGACAGGACCATTGATGTGATTGATGTGGCCAGACAAGCTGACTGTAAGATGAAGCTGGGAGACTTTGTGAAGTACTACAGGAGCAGCCGCAGAGAGAAGGTGTTAAACGTCATCAGCCTGGAGTTCTCAGAGAGCAGGTGAGAGACATTCACCCTCAGCTCCCCCCCCCCCCCCCCCCCCCCCCCACACACACACACAAATACACACACTCCACACGCACACACCCATCATTAAAAGTCATCAGCCTGGTCTCAGAGAGAAGGCGAGAGAGGAATTTACCCTCATTCCTCCCCCCACCCCCCCACACACACACCCACCCTCACTGGATACCCACTAAGAGGATGTGACTGACTCTGGGTGTGATGGAGTCCTGGTGTGATATGACCTGGTGGAGATGCCCAGGCTGGTGAGGTAGCTGTCCTGGGTGTGAGGGAGGGATGGAGTCTGGGTGCGGGCATGGCTGACTCTGGGTGTGACGGAGTCCTGGTGTGTCTACAGGCTGTCTAACCTGGTGGAGACGCCCAGGCTGGTGAGGAAGCTGTCCTGGGTTGAGAACCTGTGGCCGGAGCAGTCGGTGTTCGAGAGGCCGAGCGTGCAGAAATACTGTCTGATGGGGGTGAAAGACAGTTACACCGATTTCCACATCGATTTCGGGGGTACGTCAGTCTGGTACCACGTCCTCAAGGTAATCTGTCCCCTCCCCTCCCTCCCTGTGACTGTCTGTCTGTGCGTGTGTGAGATTGTGTGTGTCTCACTCTCTCTCCGTCCCGCTCTCCTCGCAGGGCGAGAAGATTTTCTACTTGATCAGACCCACCAATGCGAACCTGGCCTTGTTTGAATGCTGGAGCTCTTCGTCCAACCAGAACGAGATGTTTTTCGGTGACCAGGTGGACAAGTGTTACCGCTGCTCAGTGAAGGCGGGTCACACGCTGTTTATACCCACAGGTAACTTACCCCCCTCATACCCCCTGCGCACACACACTACACACTCACAGAGCCAGGATAGGCCGAATTCTAGGATGTATTGAGAGACCGACAGACAGACTGTCACCTTGTCCCCCACAGGCTGGATACATGGTGTCCTGACACCAGTGGATTGTATCGCGTTCGGAGGCAACTTCCTTCACAGTCTGAACATCGAGATGCAACTCAAGTAAGTTGTGAGCTCGACTCCTCCCCCCCACCTCCCTCCGTACAGAGAATTCCCCCTCCGTACAGAGGACCTGGGTAACTGTACCCAGTGTATCCTGTGAAGCGCTTTGAGACGTCTCGACGATGTGATAAGGCGTTGTACCAAATGCCAGGATTATTATGTTGTTATGTTATTATTATCTCTGTCCGCGCAGAGCGTACGAGATTGAGAAGCGCCTCAACACAGCCGATCTTTTCAAGTTCCCCAACTTCGAGACCATTTGCTGGTATGTGGGCAAACATCTACTAGACACCTTCAGAGGTAAGTGTGTGTGTCTGTATGGGGGGAGGGGGGGCTATCTGTATTGGTGCGTGTGTGTGTGTGTGTCTATATTGGTGTGTGTGTCTCTCTGTGTGTGTGTCACCTGCTGTGTGCGTGAGTAACTGTGAAACTCAGCCCAGCCTCAGACAGTGAGGAGATTATCTAATAGCTTTCCCCCCCCATCTCCATCAGGCCTACGAGAGAACGGGAGGCACCCAGCGGCCTATCTGGTGCATGGAGCCAAGGCTCTCAACATGGCCTTCAGGTCCTGGACAAAGAAGGAGGTAAACTACGGTTTAGCGTTGCTCAATCACTCTCTCTCTCTCTGTCTCTCTCTCTCTCTCTCTCTCTGGCCTCCATTACTTGTCAGCTGGCTCAGTCAGTCTCTTTCTCTCTCTCTCTCTGTCTCTCAGGTAGTCAAGGACCATGAGGAAGAGATTCCAGACTGTATTCGAACGGCTCAGCTGATTAAAGACTTGGCCAAGGAGATCCGGCTGGTCGAAGTGAGTTTGTGCATCTGATCAGCCCAACTCAGTTGCTCTCCCGCCTCTGAGGCAGGATGTTGTAGGTTTGAGCCCCCCCCCCACCCACACACACACACACACTCACAGACACACACATCAGGGAATCAGAACTGGTATAGTCTAAACTGATGCTGTGGGGGGGGTAGAGAGAGAGAGAGCGTTGCATTGTCAGAGACGCTGTCCTTTGGACGAGACGTTAAACCTCACTCACTCCCCGTCTGCTGTGTTCAGGGCGGATGTTGAAGATCTCTCCGCCACCCCCCACACCCCCCCCCCATCCCACCCCACCTCAGGGAGTCTCGCTCACTCTCCCGGTGTCCTGGGCGACATAAAAAATTGGCTCGCTTCACGGCTGTGTGCGGGGATGTCTCTGAACAAATTGGATGCTGTGTTTCGCCCACAAAATACACAGTCGCTCCACAGTATATTGGAGTCCTGTAGCTCAGTGGTTAGAGCGCTCGCCTCACAAGCGAGAGGACCTAGGTTTGATTCCCGGCCGGGCGGGTCAGGCAAAACCGTAGGCAAGTTTCCTCACTGCATACACGCATGCCTTCACCAGCAGTAACTGGGAACCCAGTTAGTCGATTGGCAGATCACTTTCTCGGCGTAGTAATCCCGTCTTCAAAAAATATAATAACCAAGTGGTCACTGAAGCCACGACTATTTGTGAGGACGTCGCTGGGCTCAGTTGGCTGCCGCATTTCGTACACTTTACAGTGTATCCTGTGAAGTGCTTTGAGACGTCTCTACAGCATGATCAGGCGCTGTAACAAATGCAAGGTTTATTACTATTAACTGTAAGTTGGTGCAGTGTCTCTCGCTCGCTGGCTGACTGATTGATTGATCGATGGTGTGTGTTTTTAGCAGTGCTTCTCTTGTTAGCCTGCAGGGAAGGCGGGTGGGGGCTTGGGGGTGTTGAGAAGCCCCCAGACCACGGGGTTGGCCAGCCCGGGGCCCAAACCAGGCCGCAAGCGAGGGTCCCAGGTCAAGGAACGGGGTAAGAGGAAGGGCAAGAAGGCCAAGGAGGTGTGTGAAATCCTCACCCCTGACCTGGACCTGCTGGAGATGCACACGAAACAAACCCTCAAGAAAATGGAGTCTCCCAAGAAAGAAAAGGTTTGTGGCGATTTCATCACTCGCTCAACTTGTTTTTGAGTTCGTCCGTCAGTCCCTTCGTCCCGTTTGTGGAGCCCCGGTGGCGTAGTGGTTTGCGCGCCCGCTCACCTCAGAAGAGAGAGAAGACCCGGGTTCGATTCCCAGCTAGCCGGCTGGGTCAGGGCAAAACCTTGGGCACGTTTCTGTGGTGTCCCGTAGTGTAGTGGCTAGAACACTCACCTCGCAAGCGAGAGAGGACCTGGGTTCGATTCCCGGGCAGGCGAAACCGAAACCCAGGCAAGTTTCCTTACTCCACACACCCACACCCACTCCTCTGTTTGCCAACAGTAAGTAGGAAGCCGCTTGTTAGTCGATTGGCAGATCACTTGCCAATAAATAAATAATAATAATAATAATGTGGTCACACAATCCACGACTGTTTGTGGGACACTGTTGTACACAATTGGTTGCCGCGTTTCGCTCACAAACCACACAGTCACTACACTTTACAGCATATCCTGTGAAGCGCTTTAAGACGTCTCGAAGGCGTGATAAGGCGCTTTATCAAATGCAAGTATTATTATTGTTGTTGTTATTGTCCTTGTTAACTCCATCCCGCAGTCCCTCTGTCTCACCTCCTCCCTCCCTCGGCCTCCTTCAAGTCCGTCTCAAGTCCCTCCTTTTCGACCGCACCTTCGATCACCCTCCTACCCCTCCCCTCCCTCCACCCCTCCTACCCCGCCCTCCACCCCTCCTACCCCTCCCCTCCCTCCACCCCTCCTACCCCGCCCTCCACCCCTCCTACCCCTCCCCCGCCCTCCACCCCTCCTGATCCCAACCACCAGCTCGGGTGCCCATCCCTGACTGTCCAGCACCTGGGGACGTATGTCCTCCTGACCTGAAAGACGCTGTGTACTGTACTCCGTACCCCTATCACACCAGCCCTGGCACCTCCCTAACTCTCTGACCTGCTTACCCCCCAACCCCCAAACCCGCTGCCTCCGCTCGACTGGCTCCAGCCTCCTGCATGTCCCTTCGACCAGTGCTTACGGTCACCGCACCCCCCCCACCAGCCTCGTGCTCCGCCACTGTCAAATGCTGTGGGACGCCGTGTAATCACAGGTCGTCGTCGTTGTGTAAATGTCGTGTGGTGGTGTTGTCGTCGTTGTTGTTGATGTGGTCCTTGTCTCCGCAGCACGACGTGTCCAGCTCTGAGCTACAGATGGACAGCTTGGAGGGGGAGCTCTCGATGGATGCCTCGGTCGGGCTTGACGAGAGCAAACTCAGGTTCATCCTTTCCAATGGCAAGATAATGAGGCAAGTGTCGCTCGCTCACTCGCTCGCATTACCCCCTCTCTCCCCTCCCCTCCTGCCCTCTGTGGGGCGGAGAGAGAGAGAGAGGTGGGGGGGGGGGAAAGAGAGCAGGGGAATGGGGTTAAAGAGTAGTCAGTGTGGGCGGGGAATGGGGTTAGAGTGGAGAGCGTCAGTGTGGGGGGGCGATGGAGGGAGCACCAACACGGACCCGATGGGGGTGGGGGAGAGAGAGTGAGGGCAGGGGGTTGGGGTTAGAGTAGACTGTGTCAGTGTGGGGGAGGGAGCGAGCACTGTGAGGTTGGAGTGTGTTCTGTGACCTTGTTCTCTTTACTGTCTGACCTATGACTTGCCTTGTGTCTCTCCCCCCCCCCCCGCACCCCACCCCCCTCAGCAATAAAGGTGTGAAGGTCCCAGGGAGCAGGAGGGGGAAGTTTGCCCCACTGCTGGGGATACTGGAGGGGGTGAAGGGGGGCAGACGGAACCTGAAGGATGAGTACAGCTACGATTCCGATGACGACCTGCAGATCGACGAGACCCCCAAACGGGAGCGGCGGGGGGTGGCGGGACGCAAAAAATCCCCGAGTGAGTGAGACAAGCGTCCCCTGCTCCGCTCCCCTTTTCAGTGCCTTAAACCTCGCTCACTCCCTACCCTCCTGCAGCTCAGTGCTTAGACCCCCTCGCCTCACAGGCAAGCGAGAGGACCTGGGTTCAATTCCCGGCCAGGCAGGGATAGGGTGAAACCTTAGGCAAGTTTCCTTGCTCCACACACAGACACACACACGTACACAGACACACACACGTACACAGACACACACACGCCTGTGTTCCCAGCAGTAGGAACCCATTTGTTAGTCGATTGGGGGATCGCTTTCCAGGGGTAATAATCGCTTCAAAATAATAATAATAATGTGGTCACTCAATCCACGACTGTTTGTGGGGATGTCGCAGGGCGCGATGGGCTGTTGTGGTTCGCCCACAAAACGCACAGTCACTACGATTTACAGTGTATGCTGTGAAGCGCTTTGAGACGCATCGACGACGTGATAAGGCTCTGGATCAAATTAAAGGATTGTTATTATTGTATAAATTTGTTTCCCTCTGCTCCTCTGCACACAGAGTTACCACGTCGCTTGCCCAGAGCCAAGCCGTGTAAGGATCCGTTGAGAAAGAGAGAGCCTGGAGAGGTGGACTTCGATATTGAGGTGGGTAGGCAGGTAGGTGGGCAGGCAGACTGGCAGGTAGGTAAGTAGGCAGTCTCACTGGCTGGCGACTAGGTAGTCTGGCAGGCAGGTAGTCCGGCTGGCAGGTAGGTAGTCCGGCTGGCAGGTAGGTAGGCTGGCTGGCTATTAGTAGGTAGGGTGGATGGCTATTAGGTAGTTAGGCTGGATGGCTATTAGGTAGGTAGGCTGGATGGCTGGCAGGTAGGCAGGCAGGCTGGTAGGCTGGATGGCTGGTAAGTAGGCTGGCAGGTAGGTAGTCTGGCTGGAAGTAGGTAAGCTGGATGGCTGATAGGTAGGTCGGCTGGTAGATAAATAGGCAGGCTGGAAGGTAGGTAGGCTGCTAGGTGAACAGGCTGGTTGGTAGTCTGGCAGATAGATAGGCAGGCAGGTAGGTAGCCTAGTAGGTAGGCTGGCAGGTGAGTAGGCTGGTTGGTGGGCTGGCAGGCAGGTAGGCTGGCAGGGTGAAACGTTGGGCAAGTTTCCTTTCTCCACGCCCACACACACGACTCTGTTTACCCAGCAGTAAGTAGGAACCCGCTTGTTAGTCGATTAGTGGATCCCTTTTCCAGCGGTAATAACTCCTTAAAAAAATAATAATAATAAGTTGGCCACTTCAATCCACGATTGTGTGTGGGACGCTGCTGTGCGCAATTGGCTGCCGGTTTCACCCACAAAATATACAGTCAATTCACGTTACAGTGTATTCTGTGAAGCGCTTTGTGACGTTTTGAAGATGTGATAAAGCGCTATTATTATTAACATGTTGTGTCCTAAACTATATACTGTATCCCCCCCAGATAGTATTTCCCAACAGAAATCTATCTCATTTGTCTTTGAAACAAACAGCGCTTTCTGCCTCAAAATCAAAGGCAAGGAATATTGTTGTTGTTGTTATGGTTATTATTATTCCTCTCGTGTTAAAGGAGGACGATTCTTCAGAGGATGAAAACTTTGCGATGGATGTTGAGGTGAAGAATGGGGTGAAAACGGGAGACATGGCGGGGACAAGTAGCTCAGGAGGAATACTGGACCTGCTGAAAGCCAGTAAAGAAGTGGGAGGCTTGGACTACGCCACTCAGAGGTACAGAGAACTCCTGATAACTCCACCCTCTCCCCACCAGTCACTAACCCTTTCGGCTGCTGAGGGCAAATGCCCTATTTGAGAAATGTCCGCGGGCTGCACAAGTCCTGTAGCTCAGTGATTAGAGCGCTTGCCTCGCAAGCGAGAGACCTGGGTTTGATTGAAACGTTGGGTAAGTTTCCGTACCTAGCGAAGCCGGAACCCGCTTGTTAGTCGATTGGCGGATCGATTTTCAGGGGGTAATAATTCCATCAAAAAAAAATAATAATAATAAGGCGGTCACTCAATCCACGACTGTTTGTGGGGACGTCTCTGTGTGCAATTGGCTGCTGCGTTTCGTCCACAAAACACACAGTCACTACACTTTACGGTATATATCCTGTGAAGCGCTTTGAGACGTCTCGAAGACGTGGTGAGGCGCCGGGTCACACTCCAGGATTATTATTATTATTATTATAAACATGATTCTTCTGTTCCTGTGTTCCCTGCAGCCAGCCGCCTGCCTCCCCCAGCACACAGGAGGCCATCCAGGGGATGCTGTCCATGGCCAACCTGCCCTCCTCTCCGGCCTCCAGCCTGCAGGCCTGGTGGACCAGCGGGCAGGACCGTAACGTCTCCACCTCCACTGGCAGCCAGGCCCAGGGCAAGAAGAGCAAAGGCCGGCACGTGGCGCGGGCCAGCAAGCGATCTCCTCCAGCAAAGACTCCCGCACCGACTCCCGCGCCCACTCCCACTCCCGCGCCCACACCCACACCGACTCCGGTGCAGAAACCGAGACAGAGAGCTGACAGCCACCACAGCACGGCCAGCGACAACGACAGCTTCGACGATCAGGAGAGTCTTGGGGCTTGTTTCAAAGACTCCGACTACGGTAAATCAGAATAATAGTATCTTGTAGGAGTCTGTAGCTCGCAGGCAAGCGAGAGGACCTGGGTTCGATTCCCGGTCGGGCGGGACAGGATGAAACGTTGGGCAAGTTTACATACTGCACACGCTCACACGCACACACACGCACGCACACACGCCTCTGTTTAGCAGCAAGTAGGAACCTAGTTGTTAGTCGATTGGCAGATCACTTTTCTGGGGGTAATAATCCCTTCAAAATAAATAATAATGTGGTCACACAATCCACGACTGTTTGTGGGACGCTGCTGTGTGCAATAGGCTACCGCGTTTCGCCTACAAAACATACAAACATGGTACAGTATATTCTGTGAAGCGCTTTCAGACGTCTCGAAGACGTGTGAAGGCACCGCATCAAATGCGAGGATTATTACCATTGCATTTCTCCCCCAGTGTATCCCTCCCTGGAGTCTGACGAGGATGACCCAGCCTTGAGGTTGCAGCCAAAGAAGAGGCGAGAGAGTGACGATAGCCCCTGGAACCCGAAAGGTACTCAACTTCATTGCTCCATTTACAATTCTGTGGACTCCCAGTGGCCGGGAATCAAATCAGGTTTAGCAGGTTTCCTTACTACACACAGACACCCGCCTCTGTTTACCTAAGCAGTAAGTAAGAACCTGGTTTCTCTACACTCTATAGTGTATCCTGTGAAGCGCTTTGAGACGTCTCGACGACGTGATCAGGCGCCGGGTCAAATGCAGTGATTATGACTGTTGTTATATCAGTTGCAAGGGTTATTATAAAGGAACCCACTTGTGAGTCGATTGGTGGACGGATTGCTTTCTGGGGGCCAATAATCCCTTTTAAAAAAAATTATATTCACGTGGTCACTCAATCTATGACTGTGTGGGGACGTCGCTGGGCGCAATTGGCTGCCAAGCCCACAAAACACACAGTCACTACACTTTACAGTGTATCCTGGGAAGCACTTTTGAGAGTCTCGGAGATGTGATCGAGGCCAGGATTATTATTATTATTGCTACCCCATGTGAAGGGCACTATACAAACACGAGTTGTTGTTGATGCTATGTGGGGAGATGTATTAAGATGGTGGTTCAGTGTGTCCCTAATGGCTGCCTCTCACCCTGTGACCAGCTCGTGTGGCCCCCACGCTCCCGCGGCAGGAGAGGCCGGTACGAGAGGGAACACGCGTGGCTTCCATCGAGACCGGGCTAGCGGCAGCTGCAGCCAAACTCTCACAACAGGTGGGTCACGTCTTATGACTCCTGCTCGTCTCTTGTCCTTCCCCATCCGCTCGCCTCCCCCACCCAGCTCCGGGCCTCCTGCTGGTCCCTCGTTCCCTCCTCTCTGCCGTCGAGCACGTCCCCCGGCGCTGGACAGTCAGGGATTTGGACCCGTGCTGGGGTTGGGATCAGGAGGGGGCAGGAGGTGGCCAAAGGCCCGATCGAAGAGGAGGGTCTTGAGATGGCGGGCCTTGAAGGAGGTGAGCAAGAGTGGGAGCGAGGCGGAGGGAATGAGGGATGGAGTTCCAGAGGATGGGGGCAGAGAGGCTGAAGGCCTGACCACCATGCCCTGACTGAGCAGGGGATGTGGAGGGAGGGGGGGGGTGAGGGAGGAGTGGGGGGACAGGTTGATATGGGATTAGCAGTTTACAGAGGTGAGGAGGAGCCAGGTCATGGAGGGCTTTGAGGGCGAGGACAAGGAACTCTGGGGAAGGGGAGCCAATGGAGCTTGTTACCTGTGACCCAAGGCCCTAACTCCGCAGAATGACTAAAGTGTAGTGACTGTGCTCTCTCTCTTGCTCTCTTTGTCCACCCCGGGCCTCAGGAACAGCAGAAAACACAGAAGAAATGTCCCAACAAGAAGAAGCCGCTGGTGGAGGAGCCGAGTAAAGTGAAGGCGAAGGTGGAGGCGGAGGCCGAGCCGGAGGCCGAGGTGGAGGGGGCGGCGGTGGTGCCCAAGCAGGAGGTGTACAGCGGAAGCCTGCTGGACCACGAGTACACGGCAGGTCCCAGCACCTTCGGCCTGCCCCAGATCAGCCGCGGATCCACACCCATGGCTCCCGGGGTCTTCCTCACCCAACGTCGAGCCTCCTCATCCTCACAGGGTAGCCAGACCCCAACTGAGCACTCGCGGGAGACCAAGTGCACTGCAGGTATGTCCTTCCCCGCGAGGGGGGGTGGGGGGGGAGGTGGGGGGATGGGGAGCGTTTACTATGGAGAGGAGGGGGGGAGAGAGAAGTGACTTTGGGGAGTCCTGTAGCTCAGTGGTTAGAGCCGTCGCCTCGCAGGCCAGAGGATCTGGGTTTGATTCCCAGCCGGGCAGGTCAGGGTGAAACCTTAGGCGAGTTTCCTTACTCCACACAGACGCATGCACACACACAGACGCACACACACACAGACGTACAGATACAGACAGACATACACACATAGAAACACACACGCACGAGCCTCTGTTCACCCAGCAGTCAGCAGGAACCTGTTTGATAGTCAATTGGCGGATCTCTTTTCCGGGGGTAATAATCCCATAAATATATATAAAAAAACAATTTGGTCTCTCAATCCACGACTGTGTGGGACACTGCTGTGCACAATTGGCTGCCAAGTTTCGCCCACAAAACATACAGTCACTACACTTTACAACATAGCTCAGTGGTTAGAGCACTCGCTTTGCAAGTGAGAGACCTGAGTTCAATTCCAGGCAGAGGGCGAAACCTTGGGCAAGTTTCCTTACTCCACATGCCTAATAATAATCCCTCCAAAAAAAAAAACAATAATTAAATTGGTCATTTTCAATCTACGACTGTTTGTGGGACATTGCTGTGCGCAATTGGCTGCCGCGTTCGCCCACAAATATACAGTCAATTCACTTTACAGTGTGTTCTGTGAAGCGCTTTGGGACGTCCTCCCGACGTGAAAAGCGCTATACCAAATGCAAGGATTATTATTATTATTACAACATAGTCTGTGAAGTGCTTTGAGACATCTCAAAGACGTGATAAGGTGCTGTATCGAATGCCAGGATTATTATTAGCAGTAGTAGTATTATAATTATACCGTCATTAATTCCCAGCCCAAGGACAGGGAAGATAGACATCAAAGAGACAAAAAGGCACCAATTAATGAGTAGGTGGTAAATGTTCTCTCTTTCCCTCCTCTCCCCCCCCCTCTCTCTCTCTCTCTCACCAGGAAAACGTCCGAAGAAAGGGCTGGCAACAGCCAAACAGCGACTGGGCAAAATCTTAAAGATCCATCGGAACGGGAAGCTCTTGCTTTGAGAATATTTTTCTATTTTACATGTCGGGAACTTGAGTGTTTGTATATGTCTTGTACAGTGAATTTTCCTCTTGAATCCAGCTCCTCTCCCCTCCATTCCTCGTTCCTACCCCTCCCTCGCTTCCCCACCCTCCTCGCTTCCTCCCACCCCTCACCCACACATTCCCCACCATTTTGGACAAATAGAGGGTATCAGATGTAAGAGTAGAGAAATTGAGAGCTTTTGCATATATATATATATATATATACATGTGTGTGTGTGTGTATACATGTCTGCATTTTCCAATGTTCAGAATCTAGACTGGTTGTGATCTGACTCACTCACTAACGCTCTCGCTCACTCGCTCGCTCACTCACTCGCTCCCTCACCCACTTACTCGCTCGTTCACGCACTCACTCACACACGCACTCACAAGTTCACTCCCCCACTCCCTCCCTCCCACCCTCCCTCCCCATCTCCATCTCAGACTTGTCTCCTCGCGCCCTGTTCGAGTCTGGCCACACTTCGCACCGGAGAAGGAACAAGTGGGCGGTTGAGGAGATCCCCCCCCCCGCTTTATCACACCCTCTTCCTATCAAATTCAGACCACACCTCAACAACCCCCCCCCCCATTGACAACTCAACTCGCCCATTCTTTAGTCTTGTTACTCTCCCTTTGTGGGGGGAGGGGGGGAAACCACAGTGGTGTTCTAATCACCACCCAAACCCCCACCCCTTTTGGGAGGGGAGGCAGTCAGCAGGAGGGAGGGAGAGTCTAGTGTCAACATCAAAAGCCCCCTCTGGGATGGGTTTCTGTGTGATATCATTGTTCAGTAGAAGTTTCATTATATAAGGTAGGGTGGTCCAACTGGCGGCCCATGGGCCGGATGCGGCCCACGGGTCGATTTCATCCCCCAACCCCCTTCCTTCATAGTCTGTAAATGTTTCTGAAATAGGGCATCCGGCCCACAGCAGCCAAATGGTTGGGCCAACCCTGATTATAAGCTGTTTCCCTCTCCCTCCACTCCCCCCTGATCTTTTTTTTGTTTTCTGTGTTTGTTTGTTTCTTTCTTTTGTAAAAAAAAATCAGAAAAAAATCATAAAAGTTATTAGTTTGTAACTGTTTTATGGTGCGGCAAGTTATTAATCTCGAACAGTTTTATCGGGATGATACCAGGGATGAGGGACTTCAGTCGTGTGGAGAGATTAGTATAGAGAGGCTGGGATTGTTCTCCTTGGGAACAGAGAAGATTGAGGGGAGATTTAATAGAGGTGTTCCCAATTATGAGCGGTTCTGATAGGGAGAAACTGTTTCCTCTGGCAGATGGGTCGGAAACCAGAGGACATAGATTTAAGATAATTGGCTAAAGAACCAGAGGGGAGACCAGACGAGATTTTTTTTTTTTTTACCCGGAGAGTTGTTACTGTCTGGAAAGTATTGCCTGAAAGGGTGGTGGAAGCAGATTCGATGGTAGCTTTGCAAAGGGTAAGAATGGGGGACTGGGACCAGTTAAGGTAAGAGTGGGGGAGTGGGACTAGTTGGGGTAAGTGGGAGTGTGGCTAATTGGGGAAAGAGCAGGAGTGTGGGACTAGTTGGGGGTAAGAGACTGGGACTAGTTGGTGCCTCTTTCAAAGAGTTGGCGCAGGCACGATGGGCCGAATGGCCTCCTTCTGTGCTGTAAGATTCTGTGATATGATTCTATTCTAGATTCTTGTTCCCCAAGGAATGAACTAGGGTTTGGATCAGTTTTGCCTCGGGCAAGGTCAGCTTAGACGCTATGATTCCAAGTCCGTGATGTGTTTGGGGCTTGAACCCACAACCTTCTGACTCAGGTGAGAGCGCTACCATCTCGCCAGGCTGACACACACACACAGACACACACACACTTGACATCTATTCCTTTGCTTTGTATTGGAGTTTGGTAGTGTATTGGTTAGCACGCTCGCCTTGCAAGCGAGAGGACCCGGGTTCGATTCCCAGCCGGGCGGGGCGAAATGTTAGCCAAGTTTCCTTCTCCGCACACGCACACACACACACCTCTTTACCAGCAGTAAGTAGGAACCCGCTTGTTAGTCGATTGGCCGATTGCGTTTCCCGTTTCCTTCAAAAAAAAGAATAATTTGGTCACTCAATCCACGACTATTTGTGAGACATTGCTGTGCAATTGGCTGCCGTGTTTCGCCCACAATCTACACACAGTCACTACGCTTTGCAGTATATCCATGTGAAGTGCTTTTGAGACGTCTCAACGCGATAAGGCACTCTATCTAATGCAAGAATTATTAACAAAAATGGAGAGAGGGACCCCAAGTATTGGTGCATTTGTATGTGGCTTATGTTTTGATGTTTATTGCACATTGAAGGACACCAGTCAAAGGTCCATCTGCCTACCTGCCCAGTACTGAATTCTTAACAAACCTTGGAGGGGAGGGAGGCATTGGTCAGTTGGTTCAAGGCTTCTGGGAAAAAAACTCATCTCTCAGTAAAACTCATCCCTACGTTTTCTCTTTCTTCTCATTGTTTCTCCCGAACCGAGCTCCTGGCCCGGTCTATACTCTGGGTCCTCCAGGTCCAGGTGTACTCTCGGAACGCTTGGCAGAAAGCCGGGTTCCTCATGGCATCTCGGAACTTGTTCTCGTAGTACAGTCGGTTTTTCAGTGCATTCCTCTCGTACTCCCCCGTAGCCTCCCTGACCTGAGCTCGGATCTGCTGCGCATCCGGTCTGCCTGCCCGGCCTGCGGTCTTGTTGGCGTCCTGGAGCAGGGCTCTGTTGAAGTTCTTGACTCTGGGCGGGCCTGCGGTCACCACAGGAAGTCTCTGTGGTCTGAGCACCGGTTTGACTTCCTTCTTGCGTTCCTCCAACTTGAGGATGGTCTTCTTCAGGGATTCCGCCTTTGAGACCTTTGCCGGGGGCACCACCTTCACTGGCTCCACGATCACTGGTTCCTCTTCTAGCTCCTCCTCTGTCTCTGGTTCCTCCTCTTCCACTTTCGCTTCCTCTTCCTCTAGCTCAATTTCCTCCTCTGGCTCTGGTTCCTCCTCTGGTTCGGGCTCAGGTTCAGGTTCAGGTTCTGGTTCTGGTTCCGGTTCCGGCTCCGGCTCCGGTTCCGGAGTCTTTCTCACTGGAGTTTTGGGCGGCGTTTTCACTGCTGGTTTCTTGACAGGTGGGGGCTTTTTCACTGGCACCTTCGCCACAGATGGTTTCTTGACTAGGGGTTTTTTGACGGGTGGTTTGGACACTGGTTTGGCCGGGGGCTTGGCTGGGGGCTTGGCCGGGACGGGGGCTTTTACCGGGGGTTTGGACGCCACTGGCTTCTTGACCGGCGGAGGTTCCTTCACTGCGGATTTGCTTTCTTTTACCACTGGTTTGGCCTCTGGCTCCTCTGGTTCCACTGTTTTCTCTGGCTCTGGTTCAGATGGCTCTGGTTCAGATTCCTCTGGTTCCTCTATCTCCTCTGGCTCAGGTTCCTCTGGCTCCACTGTTTCAGGTTGCTCTGGCTCTGGTTCCTCTGTCTCTGGTTCCAATGGCTCCTCTGGCACCACTGGCTTCTCTGGTTCAGGCTCCGTTGGCTCTGGTTCCTGCTCAGGCTCCTCCTCTGGCTCCTGCTCTGGTTCCTGTGGCTCCTTCTCGAGTTCCTCTGGCTCCTCCTCTTCCGCTCCTTCCTCTTCGGCTGACAACGGCCTGCGTTCCTCGGAGACGACGCGTGAGACACTGGACCCTCGGGATTCCCCTGTGATCTCGGGATATATGGGGATGGGCTCCTCAAACTTGTCCCGGTAATAGCCGGTCACCGTCTTTTTCAACCTGTCATTGATGACGGGAGCTTCAACCAACCTGAGGAGTATCTCAAAAGGCACCACCTCCGGGGAGAGGTAGGGGTCTACGACCTCGCAGGGAGGACTCAGGTACTGGCCAAACTTGGACGTGTCCGTTATGATCTTCAGGAAGTCCTGGAAGTCCACCTCCTTACCCCCATTCACGGTGGCGCATTTCACGTCATTGGGAACCAGAGGGTTTTTCAGGCAGATGTCCAGCTTGGTCATGTTGCTCAGCAGACTGGCCACGTCGATACGGTCATTGCTGTTTCTCACCAGCATTTGGAAGAATTCCCGGAAGGCCGTCACCTCTTCCGCCGTGGGGGGTAGCTCCCGGTATTGCTCCTCAGGCTCCAGGATATCCACGAACTGTATCAGACTCAAGACGGGGATTCCCAGGAAGGTATTGTCAGCCTTGCTGCAAACCTTGTCCTCCTTCTTAGTCTTCAGCTTGGCGCCTTTCTTCTTCCGAAAGAAGTACTTGATGATTTTGATGGTGGAGTCTTCGGAGATGATTTGGTTCTTCATGACTTTGGTCAACATCTGAAAGAAGATTGTGTCGTCCACGTACCCCTTGTGCACCACCAGAAACTGGGAGACGTCGGGCAGCTCCTTGAAGAACTGGAAGAAGAGTTTGGTGTCGGTCATGACTGTCAGGAAGTCCGAGAAATCCACTTTGCCATCCCCATTCACGTCAAAGCTCTTGAAGGCTCTTCCCGCTTTGGAATCGCTCATCTTCACCCCCACGCTGGCCAGAATGACCTTGAACTTGTCCAAGTCGATGGCGTCTCCCGATCGTTTCAGAAACATGTCGAAGAGTTCGCGGAACGCCTCCAGCTGTTTCCTGGTCACCGCAGGTTTCTCTTGGCTCGAGGTCGTGAGATCGCCGTCTCTGAACGGCATTTGAGACAGCAAGGCCTCCGTGTCCAAATCGCCACTCTCTTCCACGAACCTCCCCATCTTCTCGATCATCTTCTCCACCATCTTCTCCCCTTCCTCCACCACCAGCTCCACCATTTTCTCAATCTTCTGCTCTACCATGTTTTCCATCTTGCCGGCATCTTCCATCATCTGCTCGATCTTCTCTACCACATTGTCTACGACCCTGCCCACCACCTTCACCACTTTGCCCTTGTCCTCCACGCGGTCCTGCTCTACCTGAAGCAACTTCTCAATTGCTTTCTCCATGACCTTGTCCACTACCTTCTCCACTACCTTCACCACCACCTTGACCACATACTCCACCTGATCCATGCGCTCACTCTTTAACCCTTCCCTGGGACATCCTTCCTCGTCCTCATCTTCCTCTTCTTCCTCTTCCTCTTCCTCTTCATCCTCTATCTCCTCCTCCTCTCCACCCCCCTCTCTTCTATCTTCCTCTCTCCCTGTTGGTTGCTCTTCGAGCTCCAGATCACAAACATCTGGTGCTCTGGACTCTGGCTCTGTTGTTGCCGCCACTTCCTTCTGCCCCTCGGCCTCCAACTCAGACAATTCCTCCTCCAAGGGTTTTGCCTCCATCTCTTCCTCCTTCACTTCCTTCTTTCCCTCTTCTTCCAATTCACACAGTTCCTCCTCCGATGGCTTTGACACAACCTTTTCCTCCTTTACCTCTTCCTCCAACTCACACAATTCCTCCTGCGAGGGTTTTGCCTCCAACACTTCCTCCTTCACTTCTTCCTTCTTTACCTCTTCTTCCAATTCACACAGTTCCTCCTCCAATGGCTCTGACACAACCTTTTCCTCCTTTACCTCATCTTCCAACTCACATAATTCCTCCTCCGATCGCTTTGGTACAATCTTTTCCTCTTTCTCTGCTTCCTCCTTTACCTCATCTTCCAACTCACACAGTTCCTCCTCCGATGTCTTTGACACAACCTCTTCCTCCTTTCCCTCTTCCAACTCACATATTTCCTCTTCTGTCGACTCTTCTTGCTCCAGCTCACATGCTTCATCCTCTGTTTCCCCTTCCCCCTCCCTCACTTCCTGCTCCTCCAACTCACACAGCTCCTCGGAGGATCTGGTCTCCGGCTCCTCATCCTCCAACTCACACAGCCCATCCGAGGACCTGGTGGCTTCCTCCTCCTCCTCCAGCTCACACAGTTCATCTGTCGTCTCTTCTGGTTCCTCGTCTTCCAACTGGCGTTCTTCCCCCTCTTCCTCCTCTTGTACCGCACCCTCCTCTTCCTCCAACTCGCACATTTCCTCCTCAGCCTCTGCTGGTTTCACTTCCACCTGCTCTTCCTCCTCCAACTCGCACACTTCCTCTTCAGGTCCCGGTTCTTCCGCTTTCACTTCCTCTTCCTCCAGTTCGCATATTTCCTCCTCAAGTTCAGGCTCTTCTTCCTCCAACTCACACACTTCCTCTTCCTCTACTTCTTTCACTTCCTCCTCAGATCCTGGCTCTGCTGTTTTCACTTCATCCTGCTCTACTTGTTCTTTCACTTCCTCTTCCTCCAGTTCGTATATTTCCTCCTCGGGTTCTGGTTCTTCTTCCTCCAGCTCACACACCTCCTCTTCCTCTACTTCTTTTACTTCCTCTTCCTCCAGCTCACACACTTCCTCTTCCTCTACCTCTTTCACCTCCTCCTCCTCCAACTCACACACTTCCTCCTCTGGCTCGGGTCCTGCCTCTACCTCTCTCACCTCCTCTTCCTCCAACTCGCATATTTCCTCCTCAGGTTCTGGCTCTGCTTCTTCCTCTTCCTCCAACTCACACACTTCTTCTTGTGCTTCTACCTCTTTCACCTCTTCTTCTATCTCATGCTCTTCCTCTTCTTGTGCATCTACCTCTCTCACCTCCTCTTCCTCTAACTCACACACTTCCTCCTCTGGTTCTGCTTCTGTCTTGGGTGATTCCACTCCCTCTTCCTCCAACTCACACACTTCCTCCTCTGGTTCTGCTTCTGTCTTGGGTGATTCTACTCCCTCTTCCTCCAACTCACACACTTCCTCCTCTGGTTCTGCTTCTGTCTTGGGTGATTCTACTCCCTCTTCCTCCAACTCACCCTCTTCCTCCTCTGGTTCTGCTTCTGGCTTGGGTGATTCCACTCCCTCTTCCTCCAACTCACCCTCTTCCTCCTCTGGTTCTGCTTCTGGCTTGGGTGATTCCACTCCCTCTTCCTCCAACTCACACACTTCCTCCTCTGGTTCTGCTTCTGGCTTGGGTGATTCTACTCCCTCTTCCTCCAACTCACACACTTCCTCCTCTGGTTCTGCTTCTGGCTTGGGTGATTCTACTCCCTCTTCCTCCAACTCACACACTTCCTCCTCTGGTTCAGCTTCTGGCTTGGGTAATTCCACTCTCTCTTCCTCCAACTCACACACTTCCTCCTCTGGTTCAGCTTCTGGCTTGGGTAATTCCACTCTCTCTTCCTCCAACTCACACACTTCCTCCTCTGGTTCAGCTTCTGGCTTGGGTAATTCCACTCTCTCTTCCTCCAAGTCACACACTTCCTCCTCTGGTTCAGATTCTGCTGATTTCAGTTCCTGCTCTACTTCTACCTCTCCCACTTCCTCCTCTAATTTGCACACTTCCTCCTCGGATTCTGCTTCTGGCTCGGGTGATTTTACTTCCTCCTCCTCCTCCAATTTACACACTTCCTCCTCAGGTTCTACCTCCTGCTCTACTTCCTCTTTCACTTCTTGCTCTTTCTCGAACTCACACACTTCCTCTTCAGGTTCTACAGCTTTCACTTCCTGTTCCTCCAACTCACACACTTCCTCCTCGGGCTCATCTACCTTCACTTCCTCCTGCTCTTCTTTCTCCAACTCGTACACTTGCTTCCCCTCAATATCCAAATCGCACACCTCATCTGACGCTTTGGGCGTCAACGGTTCCTCCATAATTTCCTCCACCTCTGTCGCCTCTCCCTCCATCTCTTCTTCCTCTACTCTCTCTGTCTCTTCCCTCCATCCTTCCTCCAGAGGACATGTGTCCATGGATTCCATCTCCGGCTCTTCCTCATTCACATTGTAGGCTTCCTGGCTTGCCTTCTTTGCTCCTCCTCCTCTTCTTGATCCTCCAGCCTCTACTTCTCTGGACTCCTTTGTGAGTGACTCTTTCTCCAATTGCTCCTTGAACTCTTTCTTCTCATCGCCTTGCCCAACAATCCTCCCCTCATCATCTCGGCTCAGTTCCTCCTCCATCTCACCTTCTTCTTTCCTCTGTCTTTCATAAGAGATGAACTAAAATACTTTTTGGGGCGAGCGCTTCACAAAAGATAAAACAAATTTGGGCGATGTGGCCTTATCTTATGATGTAACTTTAGCTTTTTTGGGGGGGGTTTGGGGGTCTTGAAGTCTCCTTACAGCTGCTCCAATTCAACCGACTGACATTTTAGCCGTAACTACACTAAAACAGTTCTCAGTTCTGTCTATTTTCCTTGAAAGCAGCCAAGTCAATGCAGCTCACTGCTCTCCTCGTTGGGCAAGTTTCTATGTTCCACTTACTTCCATGAGGGGCTTTTCTTTGAGGGGAGGGGGTGAGGGATTGGTTCATGTCCTTTATAATGAAGGATTAGCATTTATTTTACATCTCGTCAGATATTTTTATGATGTGGTGGGGGATGTTTTGTGACATCGTGTCAATGATGAGTTGTCACTTCAAGGGCATCAGCACATTATGTCATAATTTTGTGACCTACCATAACTCCCGCTCCACCGCCCCCTCCACCCCCCCCCCACCCACACCCCCCGCCCGTAATAATAATCCTTGCATTTGATACAGGGCCTTATCACTTCTTCGAGACGTCTCAAAGTGCTTCACGGAATATACTGTAAAGGGTAGTGACTGTGGGTTTTGTGGGCAAAAGCCAGCAGCCAATTGCACACAGAGGTTTCCCACGCATTGAATGACCGCATTTTTTTAAAAAAGGATTATTAGCCCCGGAAAGCGATCCACCAATCGACTAACAAGCGGGTTCCTACTCACTGCTTGATAAATAGAGGTGCGTGTGTGTATGTGGGGAGCTGAACTGGCTCCAAGGTGACATGTTTGGCAATGGAATGCTGGAATCGAGCCCCCTCTCTCTGTGACGGTCTCTAGGTCCAGTTCCTGAGGCAGGAGAGGCCACAGTATTCCAGGGCACCCACTGCTAATGACAGCCGAGCCTGGCTCATCGGCAGGACCTGGAAGGGCCGGCCAGTCACTGGGGGGCAGGCAACAGGGAGGGTGGTCCTAGCTGGACAAGCTTGGCAGGCAGCGCTCTCAATGGCAAGTTGTGCGGTTTTAGCAGATTAGACTCCAGCAGTTATCCCAATGCACACTGGGGTCCCCCAAGCCTTGGCTCTTGCCAACCTGCACCAAATACTTTCCAGAATTGGGCAAGCAGGTTGCAACCCTCCAGGGAGAGTGTGTGCAGTCCGTTCCAACGATCTATATCCAGAATCTCCTTTCTCCTGAGGTGGGAATAATGATAATAATAATAATAATAATCCTTGCATTTGATATAGCGTCTTACCACGTCGTCGAAATATCTTAAAAGCGCTTCACAGAATACACTGTAAAGTGAATTGACTGTAAATTTTGTGGGGTAAATGTGGCAGCCAATTGAGCACAGCAGTGTCCCACAAACCGTTGTGGATTGAGTGACCAAATTATTATATATCTATTTTTGAAGGGATTATTACCCCTAGAAAAGCAATCTGCCAATCGACTAACAAGCGGTTCCTACTTACTGCTTGGTAAACAGAGTGGGGTTTGTGTGTGTGCGTGTGTGTGTGTGTGGAGTAAGGATACTTGCCTAACATTTTGCCCTGACCCTACCCAACCGGGAATCGAACCCAGGTCCTCTTGCTCACTTGCGAGGTGAGTGCTCTAACCCAATGCGCTACAGGGACTCCACAAACATATGTTCAAGATGCCAATTTATTCTGCATTAAGAGAGTCACGAAAGCATTGATTATCCTTAGCATAGTTTTGAAGTAAAACAAGAGCGAGCCACCCCTTCACGTGGCCTCCACTCCCTCCTCCCTCTGCCCCCCCCCCCCCCTCCGCCTCCAGGACCCAACTCACTAAGCGTCAGCCCCACCAAAAAAAAACACGTCATGTCATTTACGGGGGACCTCCCTCCACATCTGCCCGATTTCTCCACGTCCAAGAGTAAGCGTTGAAAGCTTCTTTGAAAGCTGGGTTCTGCAGAGCCACAGCGAATCGCTTCTCCAGATCGTTCCGTTTGCGATTCCCCTGTTCCTTATGGTGCTTCCTGCCGGCATTGGCCGTGGTTATTTTTCCATGGTCTTGCACTGCGACACTCCTTGGGATTTGGGTCGTGTTCCTGGAGGTGGGTCTGGGGGCAGTGGAGGGAGGGGTGGCGCGGGGCTTGTCAAGATTTCCCTTCTGCTGCTGATGGGCCGAGTGAGGTTTCTCTGGGGGTTCCTTATCCACGTTCCAGTTGTGCTGGAACTTACTGCGGTAGTAGACGGTGATGATGCCCTTGGTCTTCGCAGTGAGGATGGTCGAATCTACAAGACGGGTGATAGCCTCAAACAGTACTACATCGCTGTCCACTTCGCCCTTGCACTCCTTGTAGACCGGAGCCAAGTACTGCCTGAAAGTAGCTGTGTCCGTCATGATGGTCAGGAAGTCCTGGAAGCCTACCGGGCGGCCCTGGTTGACCCCGTTGACCTTGACATCATTGGGCACGAGGGGGTTCTTCAGGTAGATCTGCACCTGCTTCATCATGTCCAGGAGATAGTCCACCCCTACACTGTCCTCACCCGTCCTGTTAAAGATCTCAAAGACATCTCGGAATGCTGCAACCTGCTCCTCGGTCAAATCCACCTCCTTGTAATCCGCGTCCGGCTGCAGGATGTCCACGTAGTTGACCAGGTTATAGACGGTCTGTCCCAGGAAGGTAGGGAGGTTCTTGACCCCCTCGTCCTTGGTCAATAGCTTGGCTCCTTTCTTCTTCAGGTAGTAATACTTGATGATCTTCCTGACGGAGTCTTCAGAGAGCAGTTGAAACTCGATGAACTTGGACAGGAGCTCGAAGAAGATGGTGTTGTCCACGAAGCCCTTGTGGAGTCCCGTGCCCTCACAGCGGTCCGGCAAATCGCCGAAGAACTTGAAGAAGAGTTTGGTGTTGGTCAGCAGGTTGAGGAAGTCCTCAAAATCCGCCCGGCTGTCCTTATTACTGTCCAGGACCTCCAGCGCTCGGTGAATCTTCTCGTCCCTCAGCCTGGCACCCACGGAGGTCAATACAAACTGGAGGCTGACAAAATCTATAAAATCTTCCTCCTTTCTGGTAAACTCTTTAAAAATCTCGTAAAATGCATCTTTCTGGTTCTGGGTGAGCGGGGGCTCCTCGTACTCCTCCTCCTCCTCTGCTTGGTCTTCGCTGGACGAGTACATCTCACACACAGATTCCTGGTCAGACTGGCTCCCGACCGTGTCCCCATGACCCAAGTGGATCTGGTCCACTGCGTTGCCCTCCAGCTTCTTCTCCACTTTCTCCATCATCTTCTCCACCATGTTGGCCACCTCCACCACCACCTTGTCCACCATCTCGCCCACCCTGTTGCCCATGGCGTTCTCCATGGTCTGAGCCTCCACGATTAGGTTGTGAGCCGTCTCAGACATTGTCTCCGCCACTGTGGCCGACACCCGGTCCCTGTTCTCTATCCTCCACTTCTCTGTCATGCGATCCATCACCTTGTCCATCATCCGATCGATCACCTTATCCACAACCTTCTCCATTATCTTCCCGATCCCCTTGACCACGTCGCCTTCTGAACATTGTTGGGTCTCCACTTTCATTGTCGAAGCTGTGGTCATCTTGAAATTGACTTGCCTTCTTCTGCTTTTCCCCCTCCTCTTAATTTATATTAAAAAAAAGGTTCCCCTTACGTTTACTCCTTTGATGCTCTCTCTCGCTGTCGCTCGCGCTCTCTATACAATGGAGTATCTGGTCTCCTTCCAAGACCAGACATCAAAGACTGTTTACCAGGAGCCTGGGTGGGTGGGTGGGTGGGTGGGGGTGAGAGGGGAGGGTGGGGGTGAGGGTGGAGGGGAGACAAGGAACAAGAGGGGTTGCTCCCTACGTCAACCACCTCTCTCGGTGTCCCGCTATCCTGGCTCACACTTCATTCAGAGTGTCTTGTCTGTCTGTCTCAGGCAGCTGGTTGCGATATCCTTTCAAAGGTGACACCCCCACAGACACACACACCCACCCACACACACACCCACACACACAAAAATATATAACAAAAAGTCCCTTCAGTTCTGTCGCATGTCCCCCAGGGGGAAAAGTAGCCTCAACCTCACCGTTGCAGAACTGGTCTGTGTCTCTTCTCTTCTCAAACACATGAGGATGCTTTTTTTTTTGGAGGGTGGGGAGGGGGGGGAATTAAGAGTTACTTAACTCTACAGCTAAGGTTTGGCAATTAATTGCAGGCTGTGAAAATTCAAATGGCATTTGTGTGACTGCTATGAGGTGTCAATGTTTATGACCTCATCCTACTAACCCTGACCTATCACTTTGCTGCTTGCCCCAGTTACAAACGGGGACATTGAGTATAAAAATATAGGCTGTAGAAAAATTGGGATTAATAATAATAATGCTTGCATTTGATACAGCGCCTCATGACATCGTCATGACACCTCAAAGTGCTTCACAGGATTTCAGTGCCAACTGTATCATGTAGGCAGGCAAACACGGAAGCCGGTTTATCCCACCAACGGCATGAAGTAAGTGACCAATTTTATAATATTAATAATCCTTGTACTTGACGTGGCGCCTTAGCGCATCCTTGAGACGTGTCAAAGAGCTGTATAGGATATATTGCAAAGTGAATTGATTGTATATTTTGTGGGAGAAACACGACAGCCAATTGTCCCACAAACGGTCGTGGATTGAGGCACCAAATTATAATTATTTTTTTAAGGGATCATTATATTACCCCCGGAAAGCAATCCGCCAATCGACTTGCAAACCGGTTCCTACTTACGGCTGGTAAACAGAGGCGTGTGCGTGTGTGTGGAGTAAGTAAATTTGCCTACGGTTCTGCCCTGACTCTCTGGGCCGGCTGGGAATCGAACCCGGGTCCTCTCGCTTGCTTGCAAGGCGAGCGGTCTAACCACTTCGTTACACTACAGGACTCCACATTGTCCTGTGGGTGCAAGTAAGTAAAGCAAGATTTCTCTGGACCCTGAGGTTTTATTGTGATAGGAGAACATCCAAGCAAAGCAATTTCTAATTGCGTACAAAATGATTGGGGTGGCTGACATGAAAGGAAGATGAGAAGACGCCCCAGGAGGTCTCTACTCTGCCCACCCCACCCCGCCCCACGTTGACGCTCAACTTTGTTCTGCTTTCTTCTTGCGCTTTTTGAGGTGCTCCTGACCTTTCTGCCTCTCCGCCTCCTCCATCTTCCAGGTCCAGGAATACTCGTTGAACACAGCGTTGAATCCCGGGTGCCTGAGTGCCTGTCTGAACCTCTTCTCATAGGCAGCCCCTCGCTTGGCTTGCTTCATGCTCCCTACGTGGCTCCTGGAGCTTTTCACCTTGACCGACACCTGACAGCCCACATCGCTCCTCTCCATCTGGTGAGTCTGGGTCCGATCGGGAGTCAGCGAGGAGCTTGTCTGCCCAGGAATGGGTGATGAGGATTCTTCCTCACACACCTCCTTGCTTATGCCCTGCTCTTTGCCCTCTGACATCGCCTCTAACTTGGGCACGCACTTGGGTTGTTCCTCCCTCTTCCTCTTCTCCTCGCTGCTCAGTTTCTCCCTCTCCGCGCCTGCAACTTTCTTCTCCTTGACCCGTGTCTCCTTACCGTTTCCTGTCTCATCTCTCACTGGCTTCTCTCTCACCACCTGCCCGGCTGGTTGAGGAAGGAGGTCTTCATTGGTGGAATACTCATCGCTGGTCAGCAAGTCTTCACTGGTGGTGAACTCCTCGCTGGTGCTCATTTGTGGGGAGAAGCTCTTGTACTGAGCCACTAGCATCTCCTTGAGCTTCTGGTGGTAGAAGTTCATGATCACATCGCCCACTCTGGCAGTTTGGGAGAGGAGGTGGACATGTTTGGAGATGGCATCGAATAGGACCATCTCTGGGGTAAGAGTCCTGGTTTGAGAGAGGTCCTCGCGCTCCTGAGCCAGAAACTGGGCGAAGGTGGTCGTGTCGGACATGATAGTGAGGAAGTCTCGGAAGGTCACATTTCTACCCCGGTTGATGGGCGAGAATTGAATGGGGATGGGGATCAATTGGTTCCTCACGTAGATATTCAAGGATGTCATGATATTCAGTAGGGAATAGTGATCGATGCTGTCTTGATAGTTGCGGTCAAACAGCTCGAAGAATTCCCGGAAAGCGTAGAACTGTTCCTCGTTCAGAAGAGACTCCATGTAGTCCTCCTCGGGCTCCAATATGTCGATGTAATGGACCAGCCGATGGAGGTTGATGCCCATGAAGTTGGACGGCATCAACATCTCACCATTGTCTTGTTTGTCCCTCTTGCTCTTGATGTTGGCACCTTTCTTCTTAGCGAAGTAGTACTGGACGATGAGCCTAGTGGACTCCACTGAAAGCTCCTCCAGCTTCAAGACCTCGGCCAGGATCTTGTAGAAGACCGTGTTGGTGACGATTCCCTTCTGAAGTGTGGACGTCTCACAGCTGTCAGGAAGCTGGGAGAAATATTGCAGGAACCGGCTTCCATCTGTCACAAATTCCAGGAAATCTTCGAAGCCCACCTGCCCGTCTCTGTCCAGATCCAGGGTCTGGGCCAACTCGGCCAGCTTGTCCTCGGACAGCTTAATGCCCACAGCCTGCAGCCCCAGCGACAGGTCAAAGCGGGTCAGGCCGTCGGTGTGAGCCACGGAAAACAGGTTGAAAAGTTCCTTAAAGGCCTCTCGCTGGTGTTTGGTCAGGGAAGCCCCCTTCTTCTGGATCTCGGACAAGCCCTCTTGTTTGGCTTCTTCTGAAACGGAGGCCACGGGCTCACAGAACTCATCCATTTTGGGACCAATTCCCAACCCGTCATCGCCACCTCTGGTCTTGTCCACCGCCTTCTTGTCTTTGCCTTTGCCTTTGCGGTCCTTCTCTGTTATCTTCTCCATGAACTTGTCTACCACCTTGTCCATGACGTTGATGACCAGGGTCACCACCCTGTCCACTTTGCTCTCCTCCCTTCTCTTCCTCTCTTCCTCCGCCCGTCTCTTCTTCCTGTCCTCCACCTTCCTCTTCCTCTCCTGATCCTCTCTCTTTCTCCTGACTGCATCGTCCATTCTCCCACTCTCCTTCACTTCCCATTGCCTCACCTCCTCGTCCTCCAGCCTCTTCCTTTCCTCATCCTCCCGTCGCCTCCTCTCTTCCTCCTCCCACTTCTGCCTCTCCTCCTCCAGTATCTTCCGCCTATCCTCTTCCTCTTTCTTCTTCCTCTCCTTCTCCTGCCGTTTCCTTCGCTCTTTATCATCCCTTTTCTTCTTCTCATCCTCCTCCAGCTTCTTCCTCAGCTCCTCTTCCCACACCTTGCGCTGTTCCATCAATTTGATTTGCTCCTCAATCTTCGTCTTCTTTTCCTCAATCCTCTTCTCTTCCTCGATTCTCTTCCTCCTCGTCTCCTCCTTCTTCCTCTTCTTCTCCTCCTTCTTCATCCTCTCCTCATCCTCCAGTCTTCTCCTCTCCTCCCCTTCTCTTTTCTTTTTGACCTCCTCCTCCCTGATCCTCAGCTGCTCTTCCCTGTTCTTTATTTCCTCCTCTTTCTTCAAGATCTCCGCCACTTTCTTCTTCCTCTCTTCCTCCTCCAGTATACTCTTTCTCCTTTCCTTGCGTAGCTTCCTCCCCTCCTCCTCCTCGTCCTCCTGTTCCATTCTTTTCTTCCTCCCTCGCTCTGATTTCCTCCACTCGTCCTCGTCCACTTCACTCCCCCTCCTCCCTTCGGCTGTCCTCTCCTTTTCCCTCATCTTACCCTGCATTTTCTCGCACCTCTCTTCCTCTCTTTTCCTTCTACTTTCCTCTTTCTTCCTCCTCTTTGTTTGCTCCTTTCTCTTCCTCCTTTCTTCCTCTCTCTCCTCATTCCTCTTCCTGTCTTCCTCTTCATCCAGCAATTTCCTTCTCTCCATCTCTTCCACCCTCTTCCTCTCTTTTTCTATCCCCTTCTCCTGACGTTTCACACCTTCATCATCAGATTCCAGTGAACACACTTCTCCTTCTCCTTCTCCCCCTTTCCCCAACTCCTTGTCAGAATGGAGCGATTTCACTTCTGTCTCTTCCGCTTCCTTCTCTTTACTCTTCTTCGCTCGCAGTTCTTCAGTAGATCCCAACGAGCACACCTCACCTTCCTCCATATTTATCTCGCTCTCCTCAATGCTCCTTCTCACCGCCTCGTGAGGTTCAGTGATCTCCCCACTCAGCTCCTTGCCCGTGTCCAACTCACACATCTCCTCTTCGTCCAGGGTTTGCTTTCCTGTTAGGGGCATCGCACCTTCCACTTCTGCCTTAACACCTTCCATATCGGAAGGCAGGGAACTCTCTTCAACCCCTGATTTTTCCGGCTTCATCCCCTCCTGATCATCCTCCAGCAAACACACCTCCTCTTCCTCCTTTCCAGCTGCTGCAGCCATGGTCTCCTCTTTCTCCTTCCTCTTTCTCTCTTCCTCCCGCCTCTTTTCCTTATTCTTCTCATTCTCCTCCTCCTCCCCCGGCTCCAGTTCACATACTTCATCCTCCGCCAGCCCCTTCCTCTCCTCTTCCTCCTTCCGCTTCCTCTCTTCCTCCTCATCCTCTTTTTTCTTCTTTGTTTCTTCCTCTTTCCTCTTCCTCTCTTCCTCTTTTGCTTTGGCTTCCTGGTCCTCCTTGTCCTTTTCCTCACCAGGTTCCCGTAGACACATCTCATCTTCTTCCTCTTTCTCCTTTCCCTTCCTCTCCTCTTCCTCTGTTTTCTTCCTCTCTTCCACCTCCTTTGATTTCTCGTCCTCTTCCTGATTGGGAGATAATAAGCTTGTCTCCTCCTCCCCCTCCCCCTTCCACTCGGGCACCGATGCTTTCTCTGACACTCTCTCCCCATCTTCCTCTCTATCTTTGACCTGGTCCTCTTCGGGTGACTCCAGTTCACACGTCTCATCCGCCTCCTCTGTTGCCGGGTTATACGCCTCTTCCTGTTTTGCCCCCTCACCTTCCTCTTCCAATTCACACACCTCCTCTTCCTCCTCGGCTGTGGCTTTCTCCTCCCGTCTCTTCATCATCTCCTCCTCCTCAGCCTTTACCTCTTCTTCTTCCAACTCACACACCTCTACGTCGTCCGCTGCCTCCTTCCTCACTTCCTCGCTCTCCTTCAGCCTCTCTTTGCTGTCTCCCTCCATTGGTTGCATCTTCTCCTCCTGCTCCTCCTTCCTCTTCCTCGCTGCCTCTTTGGTCTTGGCCTTGCCATCATCACCCTCTTCCTTGTCAAGAGAGCAGCTGACCTCATCCTCCTCTGATGTTGGTTGTTGCTCCATCTTCTTCCTTATCTCTTCCTTGCTCTCTGTCGTCTCCTCATCCTCTCCCTCGGAGGATTGGATCAGACACACGGCCTCCTCTTCTCCCTTTCCCTTGCTGTCCTCTTCCTCCTCTCCCTTGATCTCCTCTTTCCCCTCTCCCTTGCTCCCGTCGGCCTGTCCCTCCTCACTTTCCAATTCACACACAGCCTCTTCCTCCTCAGACACCTCTCTCTCCACCTGTTTGGATATTTCCTCTCCAGGTGCCTTGTCCTCATCTTCGTCTTCATGTTCCAACTCGCACATTTCATCGTCGCCCTCCGCAGCTTTCTGCTGTCTCTTCCTCTCTTCCTCCATTTTCTTCCTCTCTTCCTCCCGTCTCTTCCTCTCCTCTTCCTCCTCTCTCTTCCTCTCTTCCTCACGCTCCTTTGCCTCTTCATCCTCATCAAGCGTCCATGGGCAAACCTCTGCATCCTCCTCTGATGCCGCACCATCTTCCTCCATCTCCTTCCTTCTTTCAGCTTCCTCCTTTTTCTTCCTCGCTTCTGCTCTCAACTTCGCGACATCTTCATCATCCTTATCCGGCTTCAGTGAGCACACCTCCTCATCCTCCTCCGACTCCGGCTGTTCCTCCATTTTCCTTCTCATCTCTTCTTCACTCTCCTTTTGCTCCTCGTCCTCTTCCTCGTCAGATTGAAGCAAACACACGTCTCCTGTTGTCTTTTCCTCAATCTTCCTCTCCTCTTTCTCCTGTCTCCTCCTCTCTTCCTCACGCTCTTTTTCTTCTTCATCTTCATCTGCTTTCCATGGACAAACCTCCGCATCCTCCTCTGACGCCTCACCATCTTCCTCCATCTGCCTTTTCCTCTTTTCTTCCTCTTCTCTCTTCCTCGCTTCCTCTCTCGCCTTCGCTTGACCTTCTTCAATTCTCAGTGAGCACACCTCCTCATCCTCTTCCGACTCCGGCTGTTCCTCCATCTTCCTTTTCTTTTCTTCCTCACTCTGCTTTGGCTCCTCGTCCTCTTCCTCATCAGATTGAAACAAACACACATCTTCTGTTATCTTTTCCTCAATCTTCCTCTCCTCTTCCTCCTGTCTCATTCTTTCCTTTTCTTCCTGTCTCCTCCTCTCTTCCTCACGCTCTTTTTCTTCTTCATCATCATCAGGATTCCATGGACAGACCACTGCGTCCTCCTCTGATGCCTCATCATCTTCCTCCATCTGCCTTTTCCTCTTTTCTTCCTCTTCTCTCTTCCTCGCTTCCTCTCGCGCCTTCGCTTGACCTTCTTCAACTCTCAGTGAGCACACCTCCTCATCCTCCTCCGACTCCGGCTGTTCCTCCATCTTCCTTCTCTTCTCTTCCTCACTTTCCTTTTGCTCCTCATCCTCTTCCTCATCAGATTGAAGCAAACACACGTCTCCTGTTGTCTTTTCCTCAATCTTCCTCTCTTTCTCCCGTCTCCTCCTCTCCTCTTCCTCTTGTCTCTTCCTCTCTTCCTCACGCTCCTTTTCTTCATCATCATCAGGCTTCCATGGACAGACCTCTGCATCCTCCTCTGATGCTTCACCATCCTCCATCTGCCTCTTCCTCTCATCTTCCTCCTTTTTCTTCCTCGCCTGCGCTTGATCTTCTTCAACTCTCAGTGAGCACACCTCCTCATCCTCCTCCGACTCCGGCTGTTCCTCCATCTTCCTTCTCTTCTCTTCCTCACTTTCCTTTTGCTCCTCATCCTCTTCCTCATCAGATTGAAGCAAACACACGTCTCCTGTTGTCTTTTCCTCAATCTTCCTCTCTTTCTCCCGTCTCCTCCTCTCCTCTTCCTCTTGTCTCTTCCTCTCTTCCTCACGCTCCTTTTCTTCTTCATCATCATCAGGCTTCCATGGACAGACCTCTGCATCCTCCTCTGATGCTTCACCATCCTCCATCTGCCTCTTCCTCTCATCTTCCTCCTTTTTCTTCCTCGCCTGCGCTTGATCTTCTTCAACTCTCAGTGAGCACACCTCCTCATCCTCCTCCGACTCCGGCTGTTCCTCCATCTTCCTTCTCTTCTCTTCCTCACTTTCCTTTTGCTCCTCATCCTCTTCCTCATCAGATTGAAGCAAACACACGTCTCCTGTTGTCTTTTCCTCAATCTTCCTCTCCTTCTCCTGTCTCCTCCTCTCCTCTTCCTCTTGTCTTTTCCTCTCTTCCTCACGCTCTTTTTCTTCATCATCATCTGCTTTCCATGGACAAACCTCCGCATCCTCCTCTGACGCTTCACCATCTTCCTTCATTTGCCTTTTCCTCTTTTCTTCTTCTTCTCTCCTCCTCGCTTCCTCTCTCGCCTTCGCTTGATCTTCTTCATCTCTCAGTGGACACACCTCCTCATCCTCTTCCGACTCCGGCTGTTCCTCCATCTTCCTTCTCTTCTCTTCCGCACTCTCCTTTGGCTCCTCATCCTCTTCCTCATCAGATTGAAGCAAACACACGCCTCCTGTTGTCTCTCCCTCAACCTCTTTCACTTCCTCAATCTCCCTTTCCTTTTCCTCCTGTCTCCTCCTCTCCTCTTCCTCTTGTCTCTTCCTCTCTTCCTCACGCTCCTTTTCTTCTTCGTCTGCATCTGGTTTCATTGGACAAACCTCCGCATCCTCCTCTGATGCCTCACCATCTTCCTCCATTTGCCTCTTCCTCTTTTCTTCCTCTTCTCTCTTCCTCGCTTCCTCTCTCGCCTTTGCTTGATCTTCTTCAACTCTCAGTGAGCACACCTCCTCATCCTCCTCTGACTCCGGCTGTTCCCCCATCTTCCTTCTCTTCTCTTCCTCACTCTCCTTTGGCTGCTCGTCCTCTTCCTCATCAGATTGAAGCAAACACACTTCTCCTGTTGTCTCTCCCTCAACCTCCTTCACTTCTTCAATCTTCCTCTCCTTTTCCTCCTGTCTCCTCCTCTCCTCTTCCTCTTGTCTCTTCCTCTCTTCCTCACGCTCCTTTTCTTCTTCGTCTGCATCTGGTTTCATTGGACAAACCTCCGCATCCTCCTCTGATGCCTCACCATCTTCCTCCAATTGCCTCTTCCTCTTTTCTTCCTCTTCTCTCTTCCTCGCTTCCTCTCTCGCCTTTGCTTGATCTTCTTCAACTCTCAGTGAGCACACCTCCTCATCCTCCTCCGACTCCGGCTGTTCCTCCATCTTCCTTCTCTTCTCATCCTCACTCTCCTTTGGCTGCTCATCCTCTTCCTCATCAGATTGAAGCAAACACACTTCTCCTGTTGTCTTTTCCTCAATCTTCCTCTCCTCTTCCTCCTGTCTCTTCCTCTCCTCTTCCTCTTGTCTCTTCCTCTGTTCCTCACGCTCCTTTTCTTCTTCATCATCATCTGGTTTCAATGGACAGACCTCTGCGTCCTCCTCTGATGCCTCACCATCCTCCATCTCTGCCTTCCTCATATCTTCCTCCTTTTTCTTCCTCGCCTTCGCTTGATCCTCTTCAACTCTCAGTGGACACACCTCCTCATCCTCCTCCGACTCCGGCTGTTCCTCCATCTTCCTTCTCTTCTCTTCCTCACTCTCCTTTGGCTCCTCATCCTCTTCCTCATCAGATTGAAGCAAACACACGCCTCCTGTTGTCTCTTCCTCAATCTCTTTTACCTCCTCAACCTCCTTCACCTCTTCCTCCTGACTCGTCCTCGCTTCGTCATGCTCCTTTTTTTCTTCATCTGCATCTGCTTTCCATGGACAAACCTCTGCATCCTCCTCTGATGCCTCACCATCTTCCTCCATCTCACCCTTCCTCTCATCTTCCTCCATCTGCCTCTTCTTCTCTGCTTCCTCTTCTCTCTTTCTCGCTTCCTCTCTCGCCTTTGCTTGATCTTCTTCAACTCTCAGTGCGCACACCTCCTCATCCTCCTCTGACTCTGGCTGTTCCTCCATTTTCCTTTTCTTCTCTTCCTCACTCTCCTTTGGCTGCTCGTCCTCTTCCTCATCAGATTGAAGCAAACAGACATCGCCTGTTGTTGTTTTCTCAATCTTCTTCTCTTCTTCCTGTCTCCTCCTTTCCTCGTCCTGTCTCTTCCTCTCCTCTTCCTCTTGTCTCCTCCTCTGTTCCTCACGCTCCTTTTCTTCTTCATCATCATCTGGTTTCCATGGACAGACCTCTGCGTCCTCCTCTGATGCCTCACCATCTTCCCCCATCTCTGGCTTTCTCACATCTTCCTCCTTTTTCTTCTTTGCCTTTGCTTGATCCTCTTCAACTCTCAATGCACACACCTCCTCATCCTCCTCCGACTCCGGCTGTTCCTCCATCTTCCTTCTCTTCTCTTCCTCACTTTCTTTTGGCTCCTCATCCTCTTCCTCATCAGATTGAAGCAAACACACGTCTCCTGTTGTCTTTTCCTCAATCTTCCTCTCCTCTTCCTCCGGTCTCTTCCTCTCTTCCTCACGCTCTTTTTCTTCTTCATCATCAGGCATCCATGGACAGATTGCTGCATCCTCCTCTGATGCCTCACCATCTTCCTCCACCTCCCTCTTCCTCACACCTTCCTCCATCTGCCTCCTCTCCTCTTCCTCTTGTCTCTTCCTCGCTTCCTCTCTCACCTTCGTTTGATCCTCTTCAGCTCTCAGTGCGCACACCTCCTCATCCTCCTCTGACTCCGGCTGTTCCTCCATCTTCCTTCTCTTCTCTTCCTCACTCTCCTTTGGCTGCTCATCCTCTTCCTCATCAGATTGAAGCAAACACACGTCCCCCTCTCCCTCAACCTTGTCCTCTTTGCTCTCTCCTTCCTCCTCTTCCTCCTCCACCTCCGCCTCTGCCTCCTTATCAGGCACCAGTAAACATACCTCATCTTCCTCTTCCTCATCATCCTCAGGCTTCTCTTCCTTCTCCGCTTCAGGGTCAGAGAACAAGAAGCAAACTTCTGTGTCCTCCTCTGATGCCTCAGCATCTTCTTCCATCTGCTTCCTCCTCTTCTCTTCCTCTTTCATATCCCTCTCTGCCTCTTCCTTGCTCTCCTTCTTTAACTGCTCCCTTCGCTGCCTCTCTTCTTCTCTTACCTTTGCTTCATCCCACCCTTCCTGGTCCTCCCCAACTCTCTTTTCTGGTCTTTTCTCTTCCTTCTCCTGGCTCCCCCTCTCTCCACTTCCCATCATATCTTTGCTGGTTTGAAGCAAGGGCTGGATGAACTCCTCATCCAACGAATCTTCACTTGCAAACATCTTCTCTTCGTCATCCTGTCTTTTCTTCTTCTCCTCCTCCCCGATCATCCTCTGCTCCTCCTGTCGCTCTTTACTGTCATCATCGGCCTCCTGATCCTCCTTGCCTTGTTTACTCCTCACCTCGTCCTGGTATTTCTCTTTGTACTTCCTGTCCTCCCTCTTCTTCCTCTCATCCCGCTTCTTCTTTTTCTCTTCCTCTTTCTCCTTCCTCCTCTTCTCCAGCTCCTCAATCCTTTTCTCTTCCTCAAACTGTTTCTTCCTCCTCTCCTCTGCCACTTTCCTGATATTTTCTGCTTTGACTTTCTCCATCTCTTCGCTGTTTTCAGGGTCTACCCCGCACACCTCTTCCTCTTCATAATCGCTCTCATAAGTATAGAGATCTTCATTCCTTTTTTTTATCCACTGACGTTCAAGCTTTCTGGCTAAATCCTCCTCCAATTCCTCCTCGTCCTCAACCTCTCCTGTATCTCTCTTGTCTTCACTCTTATCTTCATCCACATAAAAGGGATCATCCTCGATATATTCCATAACAGGACTGTTCTCTCTTTGTAAGTATTTCGCTCTCCTCCCTCTCTCTTGGTCAATTTAGATTGCCTTTGGGTGAATCAGTTTGTGGTAGTTTTTTTTGGGGGTTTCCCTTGAGTTCGAATGTTTGGTATTGGTTCTACTTTCCGTTTGAAAGATACACAGATTGACATACATGCGCTCTTCAAGGTTTCTGAGGTTTAAAATACCTTGTCCTCGGTCCAACTCACTTTTGTTTTCAATCCAGATCTTGACTCTATAAGACCATTAAGGTTTAAACTATTGTTAACTTAGACCTTTTTCCAAGGCAGTTGCTGCCGGTTGGGGGTGGGGTGGGGGGTGGGGGTGACCCGGTCCGTCTTTCCCCTTTACACTCTTATCTACATTTATTGTTGGGCGGAGGAGGAGGGACACTTCATGTACTTTGCTACCAATCTTTTGAATGGCATCTTGCTCAGGTATTACACTGCCCTTTTCAGGTGGACAATGGCCATTGGGTATGTGATGTGTTGAATGTTTGTGAAGTCATCAATTGATGCTGATGATGGGCCTCAGCAATGATCTCACAATGTGGATTGGCACCTGGTGGCGGCTCGGCCCGGCCCGGCCCGGCTCACCGGCAGGACCTGGAAGGGCCGACCAGTCACTGGGGGCGGGGAATCCTCCTCCCGCCTCGGCTCCACGTTAACCCTGCAGCCAAAGCCCTAACGAACGGGTAGGGTGGTCCGAGCTGGACAAGCAGCGGGAAAGCTTGGCCAGATAGCACTCGCCATGGGCAAAATACTGCAGGTGCACAACATCTGGGTCCCAGACACACCTTTTTCTCTCTCTGGTCGACCTGTTTAATTGCAATCCCCTGCCCCCCCCCCACCACCTTTTGTTTTGCATCATTAACATCTCTTTAACCCATCATCCCCTATCCTCTACCCCTATTTTGTCCTTTGTCTTCCTCCCGCCCCCCCCCCCCCCCCACCCAACCCACCACCGTTAGTCCTTAAAAGCCTCTCTCTCCCAATATGCCCAGTTCCGACGAAGGGTCGTGGACCCGAAACGTTGACTCACTTTCCTCTCTCCACAGATGCCGCCTGACCCGCTGAGCGTTCCCGGCCGCTTCTGTTTTTGCGGCTCAGATGGCCGAGCCCCGTGTGGTTTTGGCCGGTCAGACTCCAGCAGTGAGCCCAACGCACGCGCCAGGCCTGGGCGCTCGCCAACCTGCGCCCAACACCCCCCGGGTTTGGGTCAGCAGAGCGTGTCCTTCCACGGAGGGAGGGAGAGAGAGAGAGAGAGAGTGTGTGCGATGGGACGCACTCTCACTCTCTCTCTCTCTCTCTCTCTCTGGAGGGACGCCCCCTGGTTACCTAATTCCTGAGAGCGTTAGGCGCAGGTTGGCGAGAGCCAAGGCTTGGGGTGAGGGGGGGGGGGTGGGGGGGGTGGGGTGGGGGGAGAGCCCAGAGGCTGCGTTGGGGGGTAACTGCTGGAGTCCAAGACCCTCTCAGGTCAGAGAGGGCACTACACCTGTATGAGTGCAGGTGCAGTACCGGCGGGGACCCGCTGGCGGCAGCACTGGATGGTGCAGTACCGGCGCTGACCCGCTGGCGGGCGGGCGGGTTGGGGTGGGGGGCAGCGCTGGGGGTGATACCCGCTCTGACCGGCGGGTGGCGCTGGAGCGCGGCGGCGGCTGTGAGCCAGAACGAGGCTGAGATCCGGGCACTGAAGGAGGGAAAAGATGGCGGACGGCGTTCAGGTGAGAACTTCAGGCGGTCATTCCCCCCCTCTCCCCCCCACACAGACCCCCCCCACAGCCCCCCTCCCCCTCACAGTCCCCCCCTCACACACAGCCCCCCTCTCCCCCACACAGACCCCCCCTCTCCCCCCCACACAGACCCCCCCTCTCCCCTCACACAGACCCCCCTCTCCCCCCACACAGACCCCCCACAGCCCCTCACACAGACCCCCCCCTCTCCCCCCACACAGACCCCCCCACAGCCCCTCACACAGACCCCCCCTCTCCCCCCCACACAGACCCCCCACAGCCCTCACACAGACCCCCCACAGCCCCTCACACAGACCCCCCCCTCTCCCCCACACAGACCCCCCCCACAGCCCCTCACACAGACCCCCCCACAGCCCCTCACACAGACCCCCCTCTCCCCCCACACAGACCCCCCCCACACCCCCCCTCCCCCACACAGTCCCCCTCCCACCCCCCTCACACACAGCCCCACCCCTCACAGTCCCCCCCACACACACAGCCCCCCCTCTCCCCCCCACACAGACCCCCCCACAGCCCTCACACAGACCCCCCCACAGCCCTCACACAGACCCCCTCTCCCCCCACAGCCCCTCACACAGACCCCCCCACAGCCCTCACACAGACCCCCCACACAGTCCCCCTCACAGCCCTCACAGCCCCCCTCACCCCTCCCCCCACAGCCCCTCACACAGACCCCCCTCTCCCCCCACACACAACCCCCCCCACACACACAGCCCCCCTCTCCCCCCACACACAGCCCCCCCTCTCCCCCCCCACACACACAGCCCCCCTCTCCCCCCCACACACACAGCCCCCCCTCTCCCCCCCACACACACAGCCCCCCCTCTCCCCCCCACACACACAGCCCCCCTCTCCCCCCCACACACACAGCGCCCCTCTCTCCCCCACACACACAGCCCCCCCTCTCCCCCTCACACACAGCCCCCTCTCCCCCCCACACACACAGCCCCCCCTCTCCCCCCCACACACACAGCCCCCCCTCTCCCCCCCCACACACACAGCCCCCCCTCTCCCCCCCACACACACAGCCCCCCCTCACACAGTCCCCCCCACACAGCCCCCCCTCCCCTCACAGCCCCCCACACAGCCCCTCCCACCTACTGCCCCCCCTCCCCAAACATACACTGTTCCCCCCCCTCACATAATGCCCCCCCTCCCCAATGCCGCTCCCCCCAAATACTGCCCCAATCAACACCTCCTCACTAACCCCCCCCCCCTTATACACTGCCCCCCCTTCCCCAACTGCCCCATATTAGGGGAGGGGCAGTGTATATTGAGGAGGGGCACTGCCCCTCCCCATATACTGCTCCCCCCTCAATATGCACTGCCCCTCCCCTCAATATACACTGCCCCTCCCCTCAATATACACTGCCCCTCCCCTCAATATACACTGCCCCCCACAATATACACTGCCCATCTCAATATACACTGCCCTTCCCCTCAATATACACTGTCCCCCTCAATGTACACTGTCCCCCACAATACACTGCCCATCTCAATATACACTGCCCTCCCTCAATATACACTGTCCCCCTCAATGTACACTGTCCCCCACAATATACACTGTCCCCCTCAATGTACACTGTCCCCCACAATATACACTGTCCCCCACAATGTACACTGTCCCCCAGGTTAGGCCTCATTGGAGAGGGAGCAAAGGAGATTGACCAGAATGGTACCAGGAATGAGGGGCTTCAGTGATCAGGAGAGGCAGAGGAGTGAGGATTATTCTCCGGGGAACAGAGAAGGTTCAGAGGAGACTTAACAGAAGTTTTCAAAATGATGAGGGGATTCGATCGGGTGAACAGGAGAGACTATTCCCACTGGCGGTGGGTCGGGAACCCGAGGGCATCGGTTTAAAATAGTTGTTAGAAGAAACAGGAGGCGAAGAGAATTGTTTCCACAGCGAGTTGTTGGGATCTGGAATCGTTGCCTGAAAGGCCGGTGGAGAAGGGGGGAGTGGGGTTGATCAGGGCTATGGGGAGAGAGCGGAGAGTGGGGTTGATCAACGCTATGGGGAGAGAGCGGGGAGTGGGGTTGATCAGGCTATGGGGGAGGCGGGGGAGTGGGGTTGATCAGGGCTATGGGGAGAGAGGGGGGAGTGGGGTTGATCAGGGCTATGGGGGGGGGGGGAGTGGGGTTGATCAGGGCTATGGGGAGAGAGCGGGGGAGTGGGGTTGATCAGGGCTATGGGGAGAGCGGGGGGAGTGGGGTTGATCGGGGCTATGGGGGGGGGGAGTGGGGTTGATCAGGGCTATGGGGAGAGAGGGGGGAGTGGGGTTGATCAGGGCTATGGGGGGGGGGGAGTGGGGTTGATCAGGGCTATGGGGAGAGAGTGGGGGAGTGGGGTTGATCAGGGCTATGGGGGGAGAGGGGGAGTGGGGTTGATCAGGGCTGTGGGGGGGGGGAGTGGGGTTGATCAGGGCTATGGGGGGGGGGAGTGGGGTTGATCAGGGCTATGGGGGGAGAGGGGGGGAGTGGGGTTGATCAGGGCTATGGGGGGAGAGGGGGAGTGGGGTTGATCAGGGCTATGGGGGGGGTGGGGTTGATCAGGGCTATGGGGGGAGAGGGGGAGTGGGGTTGATCAGGGCTATGGGGGGGGGGGAGTGGGGTTGATCAGGGCTATGGGGGGGGGGGAGTGGGGTTGATCAGGGCTATGGGGGGGGGGAATGGGGTTGATCAGGGCTATGGGGGGGGGGAATGGGGTTGATCTGTCCCCCTCACACACCCTCCCCCCTCAATATACATTCCACTTCCTCACCCTCAACCCTGCCCCCCCCACACACACACACTCATACCTTAACTAACCCCCTCCCCTCATATTTCCCTCAAGACACTAACATCTCAGCCCCCCCCTCCCCTTCAATACACACTCTCACCCCCCCACCCCACCCGCAACCCCCCCCTCAATACAATCTCTACACGTTGCCCCCCATATTCTCCTCACACGCAGCCTTAGTAACCCCCTCAAACCAGCTCCTCAAACACACACACAGGCACCCCCACCCCCCCCCCCCAATACACACCAACTAACCCCCTTCCCAATATCCCCTCTACGGCAATCCCTCCTCCTCACACCCCCAACGCCCTCACTTTCCCTCCCTCCACCCCCACCCCGACCCCCAAATAATCCTCAACCCCCCTCACACACACACACACACACAACACACACACTCCCCTCTCCGTATCCCCCCATTTCCACCATATTCCCACCCTTTCCCCATTTTCCCAACCCCCCCCCCCCACTCCCCCACCTCTGCCCACCGCACAACATCTTGAACCTGTATAGTTACACAGCGTACTCCATGTGGGGGAAGCATCTCTGAGTGGTTGCTCTCCCCTCTCCGCCCCCCACCCCCCCACCACCCCCCCAACTCGCTGCCGCCACACTCGCACCTCACCCCACCCCCCCCCCCCCAAAAAAAACCCCACATGCTTTAGTCCTTAAACTTCCTCCTTGTGACAGAGAAGAGCAATGAACCCCTTGTTTCTCCGCTTTCCTCCGGTTTATACACAAACCGGATTCACGGTAAAGCTTTTGTTCTTCATCGTCACTCGTGTTTTATTTAACTTTTTATTGTAGGAGAAGACTCTCTCTCTCTCTCTCCCTCTCTCTCCCCCTCTCTCCCGCCCTCTGTCTCCTTCATTCAGTCTCTCCTTTTGCGCCCTCTTCCTCTCGTCCTCTCGTCTTCCATCTATCTTGTTCCCTCCCATCTTTCCTTCACTCCCTCGTCCTCCAGCGCTCTGTCCCTCATTCTCTCTCCTTCACTCTCATCCTCTCATCTTCTGTCTCTCTTATATCTCCCGCTTTCCTTCGCTCCCTCATCCTCCACCCTCACCCTCTTCTTCATTCCTGCACCCCCTCTCTTTCCTTCATCCCCCCTCCTCTCTCCCTCCCTCTCTCCCGTGCCCTGTCCTCTTGCTCAGCTCACTCTACCCCCTCCCTCCCTCCCTCCCTCCCTCATATTCCCCTCTCTCCCTCTCAACTTCACTCTCCCTCTTCACCCTACGAGAGAGAGAGAGAGAGAGAGAGTGAGAGAGAGTGAGAGTGAGAGGGGAAAGTAAGAGAAGTTCAAGAATTGTTTCATGTCCTTTGACTTTTTAATGGCGCCTTCGAGACGTCTCAAAGCGCTTCGCGTGACACGCTGCGAAGTGTAGTGACTGCGGGTAAAAAAAAAAAAAATAGTCGCGACTTCAACGTTCCCCTCTTAAGATCCATCAGGACAGTCTGACAGGATGTGTGTTCTTGTGGGGGTGGGGGGGGGGGGGTTCGGTGTGTGGGTGGGAGCGCGAGACCCGCGAGAGGACGGCCTTCGCCAATAAGAGGGTTTGAGCCCCGAAAGCGCCATTTTTCCGAATTGGTTCCTCCCAAGTTTTTTCTCGTCGCCATAATCATTTCATTCGACTCGGGACGCTGACGCGGCGTCTTATCGCGTCGCCGAGACCGTCTCGAAGCGCTTCACGGGACGCACTGCAAGGTGTGTAGTGACTGGGTTTCATAACCGCATTTAATTGTTAAGTATTTTGTATTTAATAGGGGGGGTGTTGGAATTTCCTTTGGTTTTAAGGTTTGTCTTTATGTTTTGTGTGCTATAGATATATATAATGGGTTAATATATAACATATATATATATATTAGGGTGATATGTATGCAATATAATAGACGGTCTGGTTTGCGGCCCCATTTTAAAGAGGACCGTTTCAATTTTTTTTGCTCTTAAAAGAGTGTGTCAAGAAAGGCTCAAACGCCTCAACTTAATCTCGTCGCCCCCCACCCCCTCCCCACCACTCCCCGGAAAATAATTTCTCGTTGGTGAGATGAGATGCTGATGAGTGAGAGGGGGAGAGGGAAGAGGGGAGCGGCAGAAGAGGTAGAGACGGAGGGAGAGAGGAGAGGGGGTGAGGGAGAGGAGGGAGAGGGAGGGGCAGCGAGAGGAGAGAGGAAGGGGGAGAGATCGCGAGGGGGGGGG